GAGTCACAGCTGCTAAGAGTGAGAAACACGGCTCCACGTGTCACAACTATCACAAATAAACTAGAGAGAAAAGTTCATGAATTAAAGTTGACATGACAAAGCTGCTGCTATGAAATCCCTGGTGAAGTGTTGCTAGATCGTCCTAGGTAGAGATGTAGTTGTGACAATGACAGTAGTAAGAAGTGACAGTAGTAAGATGTTGCTAGGCTATTGCTATGGAATCCCAGGTGGTTGCTAAGGTGTTGCTCAGCCATTGCAATGTTATCCTATGTGGTTGTTAAGGTGTTGCTAGGCAATTACTATGTCATTTCTAAGGGGTTACTAGGTCATTGCTATGGTATCCCAGATGGTTGCTAAGGTGTTACTAGGCTATGATTTCCCAGGTGGTTGCTAATATGCGTGCTAGTATGTTCTTGAGTCTGTATGTAATGTCTATGTGGCACTCTTTCTGTATAGCCTCTACAAAAACTGCAACTCATGACAACAGTATTAAAAATACATTTCATATAATCTTTGAGAAAAAGTCATATGAACAAAATGCACAACTTTCACAAAAACGATAGGAAAAGCTGAGAAAATGCTCTGCATTTTTAATGTGTCAAAGCCTCGGTTATTAGAATATTTTATCTCCTCAGAGGTCATCAGGGCAGTGTCATCATAACGCTGAGCAAAACATTCTTATGAACAAAACCCTAACAATAATTTTGTTCATATCACTGTCCCGGAACAGTACATACAGCCCATTTTCAGACATACTGAAAATTATATAAGCTCACTCTGGCAGAATATTTCAAAATATTTAAGCAAGTCTTCTGTTGCTAACACTGACATAGCTGCTGATTGCCCAGAATTGCTTCAGTTTAGGTGAAGGTCTAGTAGTCATAGATATTTGTCCATGATTTATTATCTTTCTACACACGCTGACAGATGTTTGTCTTTACTTAGTGCAGCTATCTTTAGTAATCAATATAGAAATTACTTTGTCTATTGCACCATATTGCTTTTGAATAGTTGACCTTCCGTGCACTTAAACGTCATGTTAGGACACATAATTTAATAATCAGTACACAGCTGTTCTGTAAGCTTCTCAACTGTTAAAAAACATTGTCCTGCGCTGAAAAAAACACAATCAAAAATACAATGTGGTGCATTTGTTGGACCTCCTTTGTTTTTCATACTTAATAAAATAGATACATTAATATTGTCATCTGCTGACAAAACCAGGTAGTTCTATTTAAAACTACCACAGAATGTGGCACATCCGCTGGCCCTAAGTGATTCTAATAACCACTTAACCCCCTGAACCCTGGGCTTATTATTCAATTATTATTCGTGACCTTAGCATACAGTAATTACTATGAATCATTTGATAAGAACTTTAAAGCTAAGATTAAAGTTATGTGGTTTGCCAGTGGAATTGCTGTTATCAAGTTATCAAAAACACCACAAACATGCTGGACCTCAGTGATTCAGTAGTCCTACTATAGCAATGGAATAACATCATAAACACAAAAGAGATATTCTGCTGGAACAGAATGTCTTCATGTAAATCTCCATTCTCACTATAGTTACGTTAGCAGTCAGCACAGGACCACACTGACTCCCTGTCACATGGCCTTCTGGGCTCTGATTGGTGGAGAAAGCCCAACCCCATCCACTCCCCCTCTCAGTGAACACAGTCTTGAGCCAGGAGTTCCTGGGAATCTCAGTTCTTCCTATCTGAGTCACATGGTGACTGACTGAAATGTATAGTTTACCAGTGGTCAGCCAGCTTTAGAGCAGAGACCTGCAGTGACCCAAGCTATACTGATATAGCTATATAATGATATATATAGACCCAAACTATACTGATAAATACTGATATGTAGATTTTTATATGTGGCTTACTGTCACAGCAATATGACAGCAATTATACTAACATGAGACGCATTAGCATTATTACATTTAGCATTATATGAGACCATTTCTAACATAACTGTCGTTTTACTGGTGCAATAAGGTTGGAAAATTCATCCTTAATCTCCTTTTACACAGAGTGGAAAGGAAAGTGCACTGAGTTCTCAGTAGAATCGATAGCTTTGGTTCTTAGAAATCACACACGTTTTCAGGCTACACCCTACAGTCTTTCCCTAGCTAAATCAACTGGACAGGAGCTGATGAAACTGAGAGTAGAACATATTTTGTGCAGCCAGAGCCCTGCTGATTTCAAAACACACACACACACACACACACACACACACACACACACACGCACACACACACGCACACACACACGCACACACACACGTGCACACATGCACTTCCGTTTTAAGGGTCTCTTTTCCAGGAAAAACTTCAGTACTCCAAGTTATATAGAGTTCAACACCTCAGCCAACATACAAAAGACCAAACAAGTGCGCGGCTTGTTTGGCATTCTGGGGATGTGAGGTTACTACAGTGCACAGTCAGTTGAGAATGAGAAAAATGTGCCTCTTTAGCAACAAAAATAATAACAGTTCTTCTCAGATACAAGAGAGTGAACTGATTGTGCCTGATGACTTTTGAAGAAGACAAGTTGGAGCATTTTATTCAAATGACATGGAAAAATGACAGAATGTATTATATGCTGTAAAGCTTCTGACAGCTAATGTAAAAGATTATTGATCCCGAAGGAAATAAAAAAAAGAATTAAATTCTGAGGATAATAAAGGGGAATTCCACCAATTTTTCAAAATTTGAGCTTTAAGATAAGAATTTGGTCTAAAACTTTCTTTTTTTAATTTGATCCTGTCAGAGAGGTACATGCAAGACATTGTAAGGAAAAATAGTACCCAAAGAAATGTTGCCTTTACCATTATCAACACTGCATGTAAAAACTCAGACGATGCCTGTAGGTTCACTGGTCATTTTGGATAGTTAATAAAATGACTATATTTGCATCATAGGCATCGTGACCCCCAGTTCCCATCACCACTACTGTAAAGAAAATTTGTGCTTAATGGATTTTAGGTCAAAACTATTGTAAAACAATGTCCTGTGCATCAGGCAGAGCATTTGTAACCATTTCATGTAATTATTTTCTGTGAGGAAATTTTTAGGGGCATTAAATGCTTCTGGACATCTGGTTCCTACCAACACCACTGTAATAAATTCTGACTTAATAAGTTTCTCTAGAACAAAGCATTTCATATCAAACCCATCTGAATAATTGAATTACACAGAATTTTTGAAAAATCAGTGAAATTCCCCTTTAAATGCTGTTAAATGAGTCTCTCTGGTAATCTCACAGTGTTAATCTGATTAATCTCAGTCTGACAGATCTCCATGAGGTAATCTCTCCAAACAGTATATTTACTTGTGCCTGTAATCACATCTGCTCAAAACTGAGAATGAATATAATGTCTGTGTGATGAAGCTGTACCACAGCACATGCCTGATTTTCTCCTCTCTCCTCAAAGTGAAACAATGATATTTTATTTGAGGTTCAGGCAGATATAACAGTCTATGAAGGCCATAAATCATGTTTTTGAGCCACACGTGAGGCAGGAAATATACGGTGCATCATTCAGTACATGTAAAACATCCACTCAGCTCACAGGCACATCCCTCCTAGCGCCACTGCAAAAAACTGATTGCAAAAAGGCCTGGCAGCCCTCCAAGCCAGCCACGTGAGTGGAACAGTCATGTGCATGTGAGTGTTTTATGAATGTATGCAGTCTATACAATATAATGCGGGTATAACTGCTGTATGTACACAGCTTGTCTCAACACGTTGGTTTTCAGTCATGATTCATTTTGTGTACAACTCGTGTTTCGGCTGTGGAAATATGAACATGATGAATAGCCCATTGACTGTTTATTCAATGACCACATATTTAAATCCAATGTCGTACAGTACCGATCGTGGGTCACCGCAAACGACAGACCAGCTTTTGATACTGCAATAGATGCCCATCTACTACAATGCTGTAAAATGTTAATGCTTTAAAACATCGCTGTAAACACAGGACAGATAAACCATAATAAACGTAGTCCTCAGACGGCACAGCAGTTGACTGAGCACTTAAAGGAAAATTCTATCCTTTTTTCAAAACGTCTGCAAAATTCTGTTGATAAGATGTGCAATTACCGATTCTGATTCTGACAGTGGTGGTGACAGGAACCAGGTGTCAGGATGTCTACAACACAAATATAGTTATCAAAATAGACTTGATTAATGAAAATAGTGATAAGTGACTACATTGCCTCACAGCTCTGTCTAAACCATGAATGGATTTTAAAAAATATGTTTTTTAAAACAACATCTCAGGCATTAAGCAGAGTATTTGTAGCCATTTAATGTTCTGTAGGGGGAGTTTTAGTGGCATTAAACGCTTTAAGATGTCTGGTTCCTTTCACCCCCACTGTGAACAATTCTGGCTCGCTGAGTGTGCCTAGAATGGAGCAACTCTGAATGGCTTTGTTTACATCTTACCTATTTAATTATGGAGACATTTTTAAATCAGTGGAATTCCCCTTTAAAAGCATCAAATAAATATATGAAATGCAAGAAAAATAAAGGATGTGGGCTCTTTAAAAGTGCATGAAGATGCTCTGATGTGGTTCTATATGAAACCTGGCTGCTGTTACAGGCCAGCTGCTTCTGGAGCTCTATATAGTTTGTTTACATTATATGTTTATTATATATGTTTACATTAAGATAAAGAAAGAAGAGCTTAATTCGAGCTCGTAAATATACTAAAGGCAAGATGGGCGACACCTTATAGCCCTGCGTGTATTTTCTGTAGTAAACAGGGTCTTTTTTGAGAAGCATCACTAAAAAGCGTTAACACTTGGTGACGTCACATGCGTAGGCCGAGCCCTGTAATTTTTTCCCACCCGTTTTCCTACAAACCCCGCCCTCCTGCGCTGGGATTGGCTAGTGGATAATAGCCACAAACAATCGACCACGTTGAGTATGAGCTACTGACCAATCCTAGCGCAGGTGGGCGGGGTTTGTAGGAATACGGGTGGAAAAAAATAACGAGGCAGAGGCAGCTACGATTAAAATACCCTGGTTTAAACACAGCGGCAACAGCGAAAGAGACGCAGACGCGGTCTCGACGGAGCGCGTGAATATTATAAGAAGGAAAAGGAAAAACCCGTTTAGCCACAAAACGTGTTTCTTCTTCCGGCTGTTTGGACGATGGACTGAACGGTGCTGAACTGCTGCGACATCCGAGCGGCTCTCAGTGTATGTAGCTGTCATTCATTTCATTCCTCCGCTTGTTTACTTCCACACGGAGGCAGAGCTGCGTGCTGTGCTGGGGGCAGCAGCTTCACTGACTTGGCTGATTTATTGTGTTTTTTAATCTACTGATGCTTTTTTGCCGTGTAGTTATAATGTACACATATCTAAAGGGGCTGTCCTTGGCTTTCCAGTGAGCATCGGGCATCATATAGTAAACATCTCACAATCTGAACCATTTAGCTGTATTGGTGAGCTTTAAGCTGTGGATGCTTATAACTACGTTTCCACCCTGAATATATTTGTTTATTTACATCCGTTTAATGAATTATTTTCTGACAGCTGAACAGCTACAGCCCTGCACCCCCCACACCAGTGGAGGCTCACCTCAGTCACACTGTTGTTGGTGTTTTGCCATTTGAATTTCGAGGTTATCGTTTTGTAAAATGCATCAGTGTTGATTAGTGGCGAATAGCTTCAGTGAGAGGGGCAGGTAAGGTCAGTGCAGTAATGTGTGAGCTGGTTGCATATTGTTGTCTTCTGACAGGTTTCTCTCCAAAGAGCAGCGACCTCCATGGCTTAGAGGAAACACCGTGTTCTGAAAGACTTCCTCTGCTGATAAAGGCACATATTTGTTTAAGTAAAGAGGTTCCAGCTTTTATTTATGTCATTCTTTTTGGCTGTGGTCTCTGGTGAGCAGGGATAAACACAGGAACCATAAAGCTAGGGGTAGAGGTGGCAACATGGCAAAAATATTCTATTATGATACTTTAATACATTTTTATGATGCATGATATGCATCACAATATTTTGTTTTATGTGAGATTTAATAAGTTGGGTTGGAACAGACAAAGTAGAAGCTGTAGTCCCAAATATAAAAATGACTATAATAACTACAATGATTTTTCTTCAGTGCCTTATAAACTGCTCTGCATTAAATCCTAATAAAAAAGTCCTAATTATGTTCACTCTGTAATGATGTATAGTCAGTCAGGACAGCGACTTCAGCACCCATTAAATAGCTCACTACCCGCTCAGCTCTGCGTCTCTGAACAGGTAGAGCTACAGCCATGTACAGATGACAGCAGGCTGTCAGAGCTGCCCTACCTGGAGTCGGCCTGTCACTATCATAAAAGTTTAATTGCCATATAAACAATTTCAATCAACTATTTCTTTCACTTATGGTTTGGAGCTGGGGAGGAGAAACTGGGCCTAGATATGTATGAAATGAAAGTACAGGAGTTTGGATCTTGTAAAACAGGGTAAAGTAGTGATTTAGCACGTTCATTCCTGGGCTCATTATTCAGTTACTGTACAGTATTTACTATTAATTATCTGGGAATCACTGTGAAACTAATAGGAAGTTATTCAGAGTGAGGAGCTGAAGTGTGGGCCTACATATAGGCCCTTAGGGTTTAAGGTGTTAAACAATAATTTTTGCTGTTAAGGATGCACCAATACAGGGATTTTGGGCTGATGTCAATATATTCTTTTTCATGTACATATTTGTTGATGTCAATATATATACATTTATATATTTTTTAAAACTTATCTGGATTAGCAGTAAAGAGATATGTAGCGTTTATTTCTGTAATGTTCCAGATGCATTAAAATGAATGAAATGCAGATGTTTTAGCACAATATCCCAGCATCACCCAAACTTTCTGCTTTTCTATAATACTTTAAATATGTCATCGGATATTGGTTTGAAATATTGGTCAAATCTAAACAATTTTTTTAAGAAGTAACCTGCCAATCCTTTTTTTCAGGTGATTATCTGCTGATACCAATATGATTTCAATATTAGTATCAATATTCAAATGCAATATGCAATATTCAGTATGCATTCCTAGTACCTCATATCACTTCAGATTCAGGCAGAATTGCTAAAGAACTTCTTGTAAAGATCTTATTGTGGTAAAGCATCTCTTCATACATCATGATCTGTGGTGGACATTCATTTGTCCGACTGTCTCACACAGGCCAATATAGGCTATTTGTTGCCCAAATCCATCATTAAAATTAGCATTTTAAGAGCATTTTTAATTCTGCACTGTAGGGAGAGGGGCTGACCACTCTCCTCTGTCTGTCTAGTGTTTGAGAGGTCATTACTGATTGAGCCCTGGCACTACTCCATCCTTGGCAGGCTGTGGTTCTGTGATTTTGTAATCCTCTTTTTCAGCAGTTTTACAGAGAGCACCATGTCTAGGGGTAGAGCTGATGCTTTGCAATCACATTCAGCCTTTTCCCCTGATGTGCCAAGAGGCAGACTGCAGTTTTACTGAGGACCCCATCTGTTCTGTGTGCAAAGTCTGCTCAGCATTTCCTTTGAAACTTGTGCATTATTTAGCTAAACGATAATAAATGTCTTTTTGGAGAAGTCCTTCCTCGTCATGCTCGGAGACACCGAAGACTGGTTTGTTTATACAGATACAGTATATTTCCAAAGTTTTGTACACACTCTTTCTAATTAGTGAATTTGTCTACTTCGGCTACTAAAGGGGACACAAAGTCAATATTAATACCTTGATTTCAGAAGAAATGCTGGATGATCAGGCTTTTGGTATATAATGTATGACAATGGCGCTTCCCAAAGTCAAGTTAGGCTCACACATTATCCCACCTTCCAATAATTAAGATGGCTTGAAAAAGCCAATTTACTGTTCTTCATTTCTTATTATTATTTGCAACAGCGTTTTAGCTAGAACCATGAAATTCTGCAGGATTGTGATTACCCAGATTCATTGCTTGTGCTTTTTTGACCAATCGGATGTACAGTTTTCATACAGCTTTTGTTCAAAGTTCAATGAAAAAAGCACCACATCAGCAACCACCTGGGATACCAGAGCAAGAACATAGCAACACTTTAACAACCACCTGGAATAACAAAGCAGTAACCTAGCAACATCTTAGCACTACCTAACTAAGCACCACCAAGCATCGCCCTAATAACAAGCTGGAATACCAAAGCAAACACCAGGAATTACTATAGAAATCCATTACTGACTACTAAGGCTTTGGATGTAACAATTATGGGGGTTGAAATTATGGTTCACATCTGAACATTCAAAGGCAAAGATCTTGTCAGCCAAAAAGGATTTTTTGTCAGACTATTAATAGTACATTGCTTCAGTGTTGTTTTCTTTTTAATTTCATTTTTCAGCTTTGGGTACATAAACCTGCTCACAACCTTACAATACACTTTTTCTTATACAAACTTTTTTTCATCACAGATTTCTTGTTCTCAGAACCTTCTTTCATATTCTGTTTATCTTTTTCCTTTTTTGGGGAAAGAGAAAGCTCAAGCATCCCTGCCTAGCACAGCATTGCTTAGCCAGCTGAACACTGCACACATTAGGCTTTTTAAAGCCTCGCTAATTACAACCAAGTTAGCTCACCCTAACCAGCCCTAACAAACTCAGTGAGTACTAATAAACTGGTGACTCCTTCAGCCTCAAGAAACAGACCCAGGCTTTGGGGACAAATGTCACAGGCACATAACAATAAAATGATTCATAGTTTGATTGCTAAACATTTGGTATTGAAATCCAGCCCATAACCTTTGACTGCTTTCTTTTTGTCTGGGGTCCAAATGGTGGCTGGTTGTAATTGGCTGAGCTGTTGGCCGGGTCTATTCACACTGAGATAATTATGTTAAAGGGCCCATATCCTACACTTTGCTTGTTTTTTTTACCCCAGGTCTTCTTGTAATGCTTGTGTAGTTTTATGTACCATGTTGTGCATCTTTTACATGACCATTTTACAAACTTCTTATTTCCCCTTAGACTTAATTAAACCATTTTTGTGCCGTTTTGTATAATTTAATAAATGAAATTGAGTGTTTAATACCTCTAAAAATTACCTCACCAACAGCTATTACAAAATACATATTTTTAAAATACCTCAATGGTATTTTGCACTATTTTGCATCAAACCACTCTGAATGACTTTATTTACATCTCACCAATTGAGTGTCTTAAATCCCCTGTAAGACTATGTAAATTAGCTCTGTTCTGACTGGCTGTGCTGGGTTGTACTTTACCTAAAAGCAATCTGGGCTGAAACACACTTATAACCTGGTGTGACTGCTGTAACTGGATGTATGTGAAAATGTTGGGTTTGGTGACAGTGAGTACAGAATGGTCTAGTTTTGCATGTTTAGTTGCCGTATATGGACTGAGGGAGCGAACGGTACATTTTGAAACTAATAACATTTACATACTACGTCAAGCTCAATTTCAGTTTTCCATGATGGACCCTTTAATATACTCTGTAATAGCAGTTCAGAGAAGGTCTATTGATTTCTGGGAACTAAAAAATATAGTGTTTTCAGTTAGTTCTAGCTTCATTTTTCGGGAGTTTTGGTTAAAAACAAAAGGGTTAAAATCTTGAAAAGCTTAATGGAAAATCTGAATCAGAATACAGCTCAATACAACAGATACAGCCAAGCTACCTCTCCTCATGGTTAGGGCTTCAATAACTAGATCGAAGGCCTAACATGTCAGACTGACTGCCAACATTATTAGGAACTGACAGTGAAATCAACCAGTCGAATTCTGTTTTCGGGACCAGTCCTTTGAGGAAAAGTTACTCTAAGCCTTTCATTAAGCACAAGAACCCAAGAGAAGCCATAGTTTACAATACAACAATTAACAGCAGTGTCACATTAAAGGATACTATTCAAAATCATCTGTAATCTCGGTTACGACTTCATTTGCATCCTGAAAACCAGCTTTTGGGGTCTGAGAGAGTGTTAATATTTGTCATGCCAATAAAGCAACATTGAATTGAATTGAATTGAGTGAAGTCCCCTCCTGCTCTGTGCAGCCCAAGGAAATGCTAATTCTTTCTCCTCTCTGTCCCTCAGAGTCAGACCATGAACTACGTGGGGCAGCTGGCAGGTCAGGTCTTCGTGCAGGTGAAGGAGCTGTACAGAGGCCTGAACCCTGCCACCCTGTCTGGCTGTATTGATGTCATTGTGGTGCGTCAGGCCGACGGCTCCCTGCAGTGTTCACCCTTCCATGTCCGCTTCGGCAAGATGGGGGTGCTGCGCTCCCGGGAAAAAGTGGTAAGATCTCTTTTATGACATATTTATACTGTCACTGTTAAACATGTCGTAAGTCACAAGTTCAGCTCAGAAAGGGCTTGTTAATTCATTAGCTGCATCAGGTGAATTTGGAGCAGGAGAAAGTCTAACACGTGCAGGCAGTGCTACTCCAGAACCAGGAGTGAGAACCACTGCCATAGAGCAACTGCTACATCTGAAGGATGTATAAAAGAAAGTTTGAGAGCCAAAATGAAGATTGAATGAAGATTGAATGAAGATTGAATGAAGATTGCATCAGTAAAATTGTGCAGACAGTATTATTGCTTTGACATTTTACTTTGCAGCAAATTTATTTCAGCAAATCTGAAATTTGTCCTTGTAAAGTCTACAAAACAAGGCAAAACACCAAAAACAAACATTACAGTTTACTACGTTGGCCCTACCGTTGGGAGATTTCTCAGTGATGCCCAGTCATCCATGGCCAGGAGTTCAAGAAAACTGGCCTTATTCTGTCTGGATGATCTTCGCTCTCCTGTCACTCAGCACGATACTAACCAACATGGGCGTCTGTTTGCCAGTGCATTAGCAGCAGTTCAAAAAGATCAATGGGCTGACTTCACTGGCCTTGGGGGAAGCACCATGTGACTGGGGGAGACCTAGCTAGCAGGGGGATTTGGCATTGACTAAAATTAAGGAGAAAATTGGGTAAAAACAAAAACAGATAAGCCTGAATAAAAGTTTTTTCCTTCTCTGATTCTCAAATTGTGACTCATTGGGCTTATTTTCCTAAGATTTTGACTAAGTAAGTAGAAAAACAAGTTATTACACATCGAAAAAGTATATGATTATTTAGATTTACATAAGTTGTTATTTTGTGAAAATAAGATATTATTTGGAATGTGTGATAATAAGTCATTATTTTGAGTTTTTGTTTTGAAACGTTCATTTTTGGCTGGTGGGTGTTTTAGGGTGATTTTGAACTTGGTTTGAACTGTGAGGTTTCTGCAAAAGTGCTCACAAAGTAGTGAATATAATTTAGTCATATTTATTAGCTGTAATACTGCAGGGGTTGCACAGCTACAAGATTTTCAATATGTACTTTTAACAATTGTTTGGAAAAAAAACACTCAAATTAGTATTTAGGTAAAAACCTGATGTTAAGACAAATCGATGAGTATAAAAAGTACCCAAAGTATTAGAAAGTCCAGTTACCTACCTCCAGATTTGACCACCGCATTTTAATGAGACATTGTTATCGATGTTATAGAGTTTCCCGTGTTATTTTAGAATCGTCTACAGCTCTGTTCTTTGTTCTGTACACATCTAAAGGTTTCCTAGCTTCATGCTAATTGTTTGAAAGGTATAAAAGTGTACAGGAGTAACTGAAATAATTTATTCCACCCAAACTGAATTTATATTGTTAAGAGCATTTTGAACTGTGATTACAAACTTTTGAACAGTGATGCATGTAGTTAATGCACTTTGCATCTTTGCTCAGGTTGACATAGAGATTAACGGGGAGCCCGTCAGCCTGCACATGAAACTGGGAGAGAACGGCGAAGCCTTCTTTGTGACGGAGACTGAGAGCGATATGGTGAGAACTCACACAGATCAAGCGTACTCTCTATAGTTTACTGAGGGCTGTAACACGTGGGACATCCTCGAGTTGCATGACGTGGAACGCGACCCTTGTTTACTGGAAACAATCTCGTGGTGGAGGCATTCTGTAACCTGAGTCTTTGTGCTCCTGTGCTTGAGAGCAGAGCCTTATCTGCCAAGGCCCCTGTCATCCTATTCTGAAGCATCTTCCCCCCTTTCTTGGCCAAAAAGCTGACCGGTGTTAAGGCAAAATGAGGTCATCATAGCATCGGTTATCCAGAATAGAGGTTTAGCTGCTGAGACATGAAAATAATTTCCCTCATAAGGGTGAAGCTCCGTCTGGCAAAGCCAAACAAGTACATCCCCTGTTTCTCTCGGCCTCATGTTCTTTATAGTCATGACAGCCAGGAAACCTGGCTGATTAGCTGCAGTGCTAAGAATGGTTAAAGCAGGAATAAGAAAGTAGAAGCTTTTATGTGCTGAGCTTCCTCTTTTAAGGAAGGAGAGACACTGCTTAAGAAACTGAAGCACATCTCCAGAAGGGAGCTGCTTCAATTATCCCATTCACTGTCTTTTTATATTTAAAAGAACATGATGAAGAACCTTTTAGAGAAGTGATAATGTGCAGTACTGTGCAAAAGCCAGACACCTTTTATTTGTTTAAATTCCAATCAACAGTCAACACAGGAGGAGAAAATCAAAGAAAATAAGAAAACAGGACGGTACAGTTTCTAAAACTGGAGTTCAAAAAATTATTAAAAGATAGAGAGAAAATGGGTAAAACTGGTGGGCCCAAAGTTTTAGTATACACTTCTATAACTTTTAGCTCAGCCAGTTTGTATTAAAGTCTGTTATTCGGGAGCTGAATAATTAGCCTTAGTATGTAAGCAGTTGGGATTTTAAGGGTTTTAACATTTCATCTCTGAGAGAGAGGAGAAAATCAAGCTGCTTCAGATCTGAAAACATCCACAGGTGTTTCTGTCCATCCTTCCACTGTGAGAAGACGACTCAGCACTGTGGCACAGCACAATGTTACAGAGAAAAGAATAAAATTTGCTAATTCAACAAAGAAGCTGCTGGTGTCCTCAGAACAGTGGACTGACCACCCCAGAGTCCAGACTTCAGCATCACTGAATGGGTTTAGATTGATGTAGATTGTAAGAAGCAGAAAATGCGGAACTTCGGAGGTGTGGAAAATTATCCCTACAGATTTCTTCGATTAACTGAAAGCAGGTCTTTCGAAAAGAATGGATGCTGTAATAAAGGCAAAAGATGGACACATTAAATATGAAAAGATTGATTTTATGTTTAGTTGTTGAAGCTTCTGTGTTGTTTTCTGTTAAGTACATGTTTATCTGCTGAAAAATGAGTAACTTTTACTGAATGGCCATTTTGACTGTAAATTAAATTAACAAAGGTCTCTGACTTTTGCGCAGTGCTGTACATTTGCACACTGAAGAGTGGATGGTTCATGGACTTTTCCCATATACCACTTCTGATGCCTGGCAGCGTGAAGCTGCTTAGGACGCTGCTTCACCTAATCAAGCAAGCAGAAACAGATCGCGAGCACACAGGCACAGGCAGGCTTTCGGTTCATAAAACATCTCAGAATAGGAATGATGATCAGCAGGAGCAGAGTCTCACTGCACATCCTGAGCCTAATCCCCTTAATGCAAAGGTTTGGGCACCCCTGCTCTAGTCAAGTAATAATATATGTATTATTATTATTATTATTATTATATATCACATAAAATATTTATAGAGCACTTTTCATTCCAGTGGCAGCTCAGAGTGTTTTACAGACAGGTAATAATGTTTTATAGTAATAGACAGACAATGACGGATAAAGTTAGAAAGAAATACCAAAGAGAATTTGAACTGAACACTGAGTTCAAGAGATGCAGTTTCTTAAATGTGTGAACTGAGCTTGACTGTCTAATAAAAGGTGAACTGAGTTCTACAGTTTAGAGGCAGAATAACTGAAAGAGTCTCTCCACGTTTTCTGTATTTTGTGGAAGGTGTTTGCAGATCTAAGATCACGTGCTGGACCATAAACAGACAGACAGTCTGTGAGGTACTCAGGTGCTTTAAGGTCATTTAGAGCCTTAAAAACTAGGAGCAGAACTTTAAAATCTATCCTACCTTAGTTGTTTTTGGACAAGCGAACGGTTTTTCACAGCTGTTGTGACAAGATGAAAGTGCCAGTTTTTCAAATGGGAGGCTGTATCCAGCAGCATTCTGAAAGAAGGTTTGATAGATGGGTGGTAGGCAGGTGTCCGTCATGCAGACTGTTCTACATCAGACTGAGTAATTCATTATACTGCGCTGTATAACAGCACTCAGACTCTGTACTACTGATTCGTCACTTCTGAGTTCTGAGCTAATCGCCCATTTCCCAGATACTAACTGTACTTCAAATGAAACCTTACCTTGATTGTATAATTCAGCCTCAGATTAGGGTTAATCTCTAACAACAGAAAGCAGTCCTGGTCCACCACACCATTTTTCTTTTCTTTTCATTGGAAGCTGGAGGCCAGTGGGAGGCTGGAGTATTTGCCGATGCAAACGATTTTCAGAATGTCACATTCATTTGCAGAAGGCATTCAGATTAAATCAGACTACATCTGGATTTCAGATCAATGCTGTGCTCTCCTGGCCTCTGCCCCCCTATCAAATGGACAGTCATTTAATCCTGACCTAAATATAGCTCTCCCAATGCCCCTTGTAAAACAACAGGCCTCTATTAATGACAAGGAATTTCCTTTACAGCAGATCCTGTTGTGTTAGTCTCTGTTGTTGATAATCTGGAGATGCCTTTTTAACCTCTATTCTACCCTCCTGTGCAGCTCAGCAGAGGTTTTGTGTTTATAATTTCCAGTTTGTTCTGATGAGGAAGATGGGGATGAGTCTCTTGGGCTGGCAATGGATGACATGAAAAACTGAAAATGACTGTCATAATATTTTCATGTCTCTCACTCACTTCCCACTCTCTGACATACTTTAACACAGCAGTAGCTCAGGGACGGTGGCAGTAGTTTAGTAGAGCACCTGCACCAGCCCAGTTATAATGAAATATGCAGGACTCTGTCTTTTTGCATTAACGTCAAAGTGCTGCGCAAGTGGAATATAACCCGACACGGTGAGTGATGTGGTAAAGTTTCAGGTGTGTTTATATGTGTATTAATGCTGTAGAACTTGATTCAGGGCTCAAGTGTTTTTTCTTAGCCTGTATTTGTAGTATTTGTACTCAGACTTGTCTTGGACTGGATAGTATTTGTACTTGGACATCTCTTAGACCTGATACTATTTGAATTGGTCTAGGCTTACCTTAGACTTCATAGTATTTGTACTCTGACCTGTCTTGGACAGACAGTATTTTTACGTGGATTTGTCTTGGACTCAATAGTATTTGTACTGAGAATTGACAAGATTGTATTTGTACGTGGACTCGTCTTGGTCTCAGTCATTGTCTTAACAAATTTAATCTCTGGTCTTGACCAAGACCAACTATTATTAAAAAAAAATGTTTATTTGTATTTTAATTTCTTGTAACTGTCACCTACGTGCACTGACTTGTATTCTGGCACTGCATGTGTTTGATTTTGATTTAGCTCATATGTTTTAGCTTTGGATGGATTCATTCAGAGCAAACATTGAACACCAAGAAAATCAGGGCACTGATGTACAAATGTTGGAGCCGTATTTAAAACCTATTTTTTAAAACTTAAACAAATTAGTGTTTGTAAAAGGATAGCAGCTGATGTTCTTAATTAAAGGCTGTTGTGACTAGAAATTAGATGAAGGGTGGTCTCTGGCTTTTGCACTGTACTATACTTTATTATGATTTTAGCTTGCTTTAGAGTTATTGTACGTACAGTTATATTTTGTGGAAAAACCTTCACATCTTCAGAAAAACATCTTCACATTTTGGCCAATTCCTGACATTGAAATAAACTGAAAATAGTTTATATCATTTCATTTAAACTATATAGGAAATATAATCTGTAGGTGTAAACTCACTATTAAATGACTCTGGCAAACAATATGAAAAGATAATATTGGAAATCTGGACTGGCAGCAGTAACACTAGTTAAGGCTCAGCCAGGATCTCGATCTTGCCTCAGTCTCGCACTCACTTGGACTCAGGCTTGACTTGATTCTCAACTCCCTTTAGATGTGGTTTTCACTTAATCTCTCAACTGTCATGAACTTGACACAGGGGTCCTGACCACGGCCCTTGTATGTATGTTAGTTTTGTTGGCCATTTATTATTATTGATCTCTACCTAACATGAATACAGTACATACATACAAGCATTTATGATATTATATACACTGTCATATAGAACTTACAGTATGTATTTCAGGCTAATATTAAAATCTTCTCCAAAGGAAATGGTGCCGCCTTACCTGGCAACATCCCCCATAATGACCGATGGCTCAGCTTTGATGGAATCCCAGATAGGAAAAGGTGTGTCTCGTCTGTCTGAGGCTGTAAGTGGGACCTCCATCCAATCCCTGGGCCCCTCACAGACCTCTGGAGACAACAGTGTGACAAAGAAGAGGAGGAAGAGGAGGAGAAAGTCCAAACTGGACAGTGTGAAGCGAGAGGACAATGGGGAGTCGTCAGATGAGGATGAGGACATGTTCCCCATCGATATGAGTTCTGATGAAGATGCAGAAACCACAGCTAGCAGGTCAGTGTGAAGATTGAGGAGGGTGGTGTTCACAATAATACCCTGTACTCTGTTTGACAGCATAAAGATACTGTGACTGAGCCAAAATGAAAAATGTAACCACTGTGGTTGTAAAAATGCTTAATCGCATCCTACAGACAGTGATTTTCTAGTTTAAAGACTCAGAAAACCTCCCTTCTAATGTTCAAGATCAGAGGAACTACAGTTGCTTTAGAGGGTTTTTGGGGTCAGGCTCTTTCAATTTTTTTAACTGGCGAATGTAGGAGGATGGGAGACAGCTAATGTTACCACTAGGAAGCCAAACATCTCACTGCACTCATAACTGTAGTCTTCAAATCATCTTTAGTCTTCAAATCATCATTAAAATGAAGAGAATTTAATCATATGACAGAAATAATTCATCAGACAAGGAAGACAACAAGCTAAAGGCTACAGTTTGCAAGAGAGCTGGCTATCTGGATGCCTTCCTTCAGTGGGTGAAAACCTTGTTTCTCGCATCAATTTTGTGCAGAATAAAGATAAAATTGCTTTTTTTAACGATGTTCGACAACTGAGGTAAAAGTTAGACTAATGCTAGCTTGGTTGTATTTATTAGCATTGTAGATCAATGGTTAGGCTAGGCTAGCAATCAGGATTGGTTAAGACCACAGGGATTCTGAATGGTTGTATAATATATTCACACGGCGCATGCTGGGTATTAGAATAGGAAAACACAGATAAAAAATTAATGTGGCGATCCACTGGATGTTAACTGTGTTGCATATTGTCTGTGCAGAAGACAGTTATTATTATAAATGTTTAAGTAATATTAGAAGCTAACCCAGTTGGAAATTATATGTTAACTGTATTACCATCAGGCGAAATGCAAGCTAGAGGGTAAAAGCTCTGTAACGCTTACTTGTCGTACTTTGTAGCTGAATTTGAATCATGATAATATTGTTTATTGTGATAATTCTACAGATAATAATGACAATAACCAAAATTTGTCTAAATGTACATTACTGCCCAAGCTTAGTTTGAACAGTAAAAGAGCAGCAGGGCAGTTAAGGACAGTTGAGGACAGTGCAGTGCTCCCAAGATATAGAATTAACTTCTGTACAAGCTAAGCTTTGGAGTGATTTCCTGCTGGACTGGATGTCACTTTGCAGCACTAGGGCAGATTTTTCAGTTGCCTTGCAGACTCCTTTTTACTGTTGACTGAAGAAAGATTACTTGGAAATCCCTCCACAAGACGTGACAGGGCCTGGAATATAGTGAGCTTTTGATTTTTTGCCAGATTATAATTAAATTCGACCTTGCTTGCCGCAACATAGTTTGTTTACAAAGAGCTGTTAGTGCTTCCAGATGGACAAGTTTGTCTGTTAATGTCTTTGCCTCTTTCTTCACTCTCTCACACACTCAGTGGGGGTGTGCATGTGTGACAGAGGGAGAGCAAGAGACAGAGAAGTTCTACTGCTAAAGTAAACAAGAGGCTGAAACAAGCCTCCCAATGTTTTTCCATGAAATCCGTGAAACCATGCCAGGTCCGATTGCAGCTCAAGGGGAACCCTTTGTGATTCTTGGCAATCAAATTATTCTCTGCTCATACAGTCATACAACAAACAACTCGCAGTATGAGCCTGACTCACTGCACAGCAAGCTACTTTTCCTCATTCCCTCAGAAAAACAGTCAGTGTCTATTGTTACACAGTGAACACAATTCACTTATCCCCACATTACACTGCATGTTCTCCGTTCCACAGAATAGGTTGCCCAGGTACCAGTAAAGAAATAAAACATGAAACCATGGTTTCACTGTCCCCAGCCTGAATAAAGGAGTCCGCTGGGAATGAATGTCAACTCTGTGCCTCAGAGAAGAGGCAGCTTGGATGAATTCCACAAGCTTGCTCTTTGGAAACCTTGCAATGCACTGTTTCTCTGGAGGAAAGGGTCTGTTAAAAGGATGCACTGCAGGCCAGGGGGTTTTAGCTACGTCTGTAATTCTTGAGTTTTGATTTACTCTTTGTGTGTTTATATGTTCTCAGAACTATGTCACGTGACCCTGAGACTAAGCAGGCCAGTGGTGGACAGTGCACAGTATACTCACAGTGTGATGAAGACTGGACACACATGCAAAGGTATGCCACTTACTCACCTCCTAAACAACATAAAAGAGGAGTAAGGTTACTAAAAATGTTCAGATAATTCAGTCATTAAGAGTCTGAAGTCAGAATTGGTCACAGAAAGTTGTTGCATGAAATTATAACAGATACATTGTGATAGTATTGAGATGAGCTTTTGGCCTAAAACATATTTTTAATACACTAATGGTGGAAAGATACATGTAGGCTGTTATAAAGCAACATTTTTTTTACCATTATTTACTATTTACATATAAAAACTTGACTGATCATTTTTGAATTGCAAATAAAATGGCTGTATTTGTGTTATGCCTGTCTTAGACATTGCAACCCCCGGTTAATATCACCATAACTGGAAAAAAAACAAACCTGAGCTTCTTTACAACGCACCATTTTACATCAAACCACTCTAATTTACTTAATTTACATAAACTGTAAACGGCCAAAAGTATGTAAAAAAACACCCCCTAATTATTGAGTTCATGTGTTTCAGCAACAGCCACTGCTAACAGGTGTATAAAATCAAGCACACAGCCATGCAGTCTCCGCAGACAAACACTGGCAGTAGAATGGCTCGCACTGAAGAGCTCTTTAAATGTGGCACTATCATGGGATGCCACCTTTACCACATGTCAGTTCGTGAAATGTCTGCCCATTGGCTTGGAACGGGATGTCCAACAAGCTCATATAAGTTCCACTGGAGATGGATAACATTATGCAAATGAGATTATACTGTGGTTCTCAATAATCATTTATCTTAATTATGTTAGTTTTTAATAGAAATTAACTTTTTTTTTCATTCACAGCACAAGGATGGAGCAGACACATACTCTGCCCATACCAGCTAATGAAGGGCTGTCCATCTCTTGCCCCCAACAAACGTCAGCATTTCCATCTACAATGAGGTACCTAATCTATGTGGAGCCACCAGGGGTATTCAAGTCCCAGTCCTGGAGGACCAGCTTCCAGCGAGGTTTGGTGATTTATCCACTTAAACATACCTTCTAAATCTGGCAGTTAACCAGTTAAACCAGGTGTGTTTGAGCAAGGAAATCAACCTGCCCTCCTGGACTGGAATTGAATATCCCTGGCCTGTACCATAAACAGCCCTCCTTTACTGCAACTTTAAGGTGGTTGTTATGTTCTTTATAACCCCTCATCCTCTCTCTGCCTGTCACCTTTCCAAGCCGGGGAAATGGTTCCTTACCTTCTTCCCCCAAGAGTGACTCAGAACTGCTAGTCAAACAGATGGCCAGGGGGAAGCCAGACAACCCTGAGATGCTGTGGGCCTGGGGAGAGCTACCTCATGCTGCCAAGGTACACAAACTAACATTCGGAATTTTGTACTTCACGTGTCAAAGCTACAACAGCTTGCTATAAGTACATGTTGTCCAATTAGTTATGGACAAGACCACTTAATGGTCTAATTGTTTTAGTTGGAAACAAAAGTGGTTAAAATGCATCTTCCCATTTTGGGCAGTAGGATGCCAGCATTACTGCTAATTGAGTACTGACTCGCTGGTGAGCTGATCAAGTCATTGGCTACAGCGGTTCAGCCCAACTGACACCATAATCATTCTTATGATTTTGCACAAAAGCTCCATTTGAACCCATTAATTTTTGACTCACTCGGGAGCGCCCTCTAGTGTTTGGCAAACCCTAAAGAAATGGTGGCCAGTCTCCTCACTAGAAACTCTCTGGTAGTATGTAGATAGATTCAGCCCAGCTACTATAGCTCCCCCATAGGACAGGACTTTAGGAGCTGGACTGATGACCTTATGTGTCTGATTAACCGGCATAATAAGGAAGTGACAGAGGAATCAACCAAACATGTGTTATGCTCCAATGGTTGGGACCAAGTTCAAGAAAAAAGACTCTGGGTCTTCCGTCTCACAAACTTATAGTCTGTGTGATGGTAACAGGCACCAGGAGACCTGATGTTTTGTTTACTGTCCAAAACCACCTACACGTGTCCTCTGAGTTTTTATATGTAATGTTGATGATGTTAAAATAAATGTTATAAATCAGACAAAAAAGTTTTCTTCAGGGAATATTTTGCCTTTCACTCTCAGAAAAAAGGTGTGAAACGGTCACTGGGAAACATAACTGAACCATAATCCACAGAAATTATATTTTCTAAACTGTACTGATTCCACACACCCCGTCTCGTCTCCAGGCTTTTATTTTACTGTTCTGTTTTAAAACCTTAGGATATGAAAAGGTACAAATACAAACTTTTCACCTGGAAACACTTATTTAAGGTTCACAATCAGACCTTAAAACCACTGTTGTACATTTGAGGGAACATTTACACTGTTTGTACCTTGAAGAACAGAAATGTACCTGAACAGAACCTTTATTTCTAACAGTGTACAGTGCCCTGCATGTACCCCTTGACCATGAATAGATTAAAATAAATGGATTAAAATATATTTTAAGCCAAAACATTATCACACAACTGTCATAAAACAACCTTTCTGTAAGGGGACTTTCAGAGGCATTAAACTCTTCAGACGTCTGGTTCCTATCACCACCACTGTGAACAATTCTGACTTGGCAAGTTTTTCTAGAACAGATCGTTTCACACCAAACCACTCTGAATGACTTTATTTACATCTTTAGAAAGTTTGAAAAATCTGTGGCGTCCCCTTTAACACAACCTACGAAGCTACCCTTTTATAATTAGCAGCACAAAACAGTGGTCTGGAATAACGGAACAGCATCTATGATGGCACGCGGATCTATTTAGATCTATGGGAAAGACAGCAGTACACCGGGTTATTCAGGTGACTGAGAATGTCAGTGCAGGTGTGATCTGACTGTGTCCACTCACACTCACAACCACTGGTCTACAGAGATACTGATATGGTCATGATATGAGTCATCCTTCACCATGTTCATGTTAAATGGCAGTGCTGCACTGTTATCTTTTGGTTTTTAAATGATGTCCTGAACTGAAGGCCTGGCTCTAATAGTCACTAGATTCAGTTTAGTATGATTAAACAAAAGTTCCTTTTGAACTGAAACCAAGTTCAAAGAGGCAACTGCTTACATAAACACTTTCCCTAAAAATGCTGATATTACCTGTGTGTGATGAGTAAAAGGTAACAGGCCTAAATTAATAGGTAATGAGGTACTAAATGTTCAGCACATTTTATTAATCATATTAGTATTGTTGGGCAGTGTAGGCCTTCTCATGGTCAAACCTCCTATCTTTCTCCACAGCCTTTGATCAAGCAGCCTGCGACTGAGCCCATGGTTGTGACTCCAGCGTCAATCCCCATGTCGGACAGCACACACTTCCGGGCCATCACTGGAGATGGGATGGTGGAGCCCCTGGATGAAAGTCCTTCAGCTCTCAGCCTGAATGTGCCTGACCTCAGGGCTGGAGAGGCAGCAGCTGCCCCAGTGCCTGCTCCTTCTGAGGAGGTGGAGGTCATTGGTGCAGCCGCTCACCTCATCAGTGACCTGGAAGATGAACCACACAGCCCTGGGATTCAGACCCTCAGCAAAACTGACTCTCCATCGAAGAGAAAAGGTAGAGATTTGTGATGCTATTAGTTGTGACGTGACCAAGCTAAGATCTGTACTCACTCTCAGTATTTTAGGAGCTTCAGATGCCTAGCAATAGCAACATTTCAGATAATTAGTCCGTGATTAATTTAGCAAGTGCCAGTTACCATTAAATGATCGGTACATACCAGCGTTTTTCAAAACAATCTCTATCTGCCAGGTCTATTCGATTGCAACAAAACACATATAAATATAGGTTTTTCACATGACAGAAATCAGGAATTATTCAGTGGCTTCTATTAAAAGCATGACAATCAACAGGTCAACAGGTATTCTTTTCTTTTCTAAGTGCAGGAAAACACACCAAAAATCCAGAATATTGATCGTATGATACAGATGCGGCAGATAGAGGTAAGGTTGAAAAATTTAATTGAGCTCTGCAGAGATCATAAGTTGAATCTAGGGCCGGTTGTCCCAGCTGTACACAAATTCAAACATAGATTAGTAATAACATAGCAGTTTACTAGGTTCAGGTTTATGCATTACCTAATCAAAAGGTTGAGCCACACAAACTGGTTTTCACATTGAGCTTAGTAGTAACTAAATATTTACACCTACCCCTAAGCAGATGTCAGTGATGGTGAAAACAGTGGGAACCACATTAGTAGCACAACAAATACAAAAACATAACACAACCCAAAAGGGCTACTTGCAACAGTAACTTTTTTACTATGGTAATTAATAAATATTTTGCGAGTCAGACTGTGCCTTAAACATGGTGGTGGTAGTATGAGGGAAGACTGATTGGGGGGGCTCTGAGAACTCGAGCTGGAGTTTTGGGCAGCTCCTGCCTGTAGCTAGAAGCCAGACCCCCCTATATACTAACTACATTAAATGCTGTGTGCTGAGGTTTTACATTCAGCTCCAAACATGACTCTGGAATAACTCCAGACATAAAACCAACATCTATAGCTCAAGTTCAGTTGGAACACAGCCAATATCCATAACTCTGGCTCCAGCTGTATCCGTTGCATGGCACCGTGTTCATTGATTGGTTCTGAACTTGTCATTGTTATGTCATGTTGAAGTGACAGTGCTTAGTGTTTGTCACTTAAGCAGTAGAACACAGAGGGAGTGTGTTATCGCGAAATAACATCACGGCTGTGATTTGGTCGCCGTAGATCATCACAGCCGTGATGTTATTGGCGATAACACACTTCTCGAGTGTTCTATTGCTTTAATACAACAGTTAAATAAATAAAGTAATAAATTAATAAACTGGGCTGTGAACGCGGCGTTTAATATGTTTTAATGTTCGCAGTTCCTTCACCAAATTATAGTTCCTTAACGAGCAGCTTGTTGCTGCGTCAGAGTAACGAACTCCGCCCACTCGCTGCTCAGCCGGCAGTTCGTTCTCCAGCTCCACACAGACCAACTGACAGTTTGGGAATTTAGTGTAGTCTGATCTTCAGAGTCTGACCAAATCGGCTGTTGGTCAAATGTGATCTTTAAAGTTTCCGTTTTCTGTTTGTGGCAAAGTAAGAAGTAAAAACGTTCAAATGTCTTGAGCGTCTCCTACAGCTGTCAAAGTCGTTGCTTAGCAACAGCGTCTCAGCGGAGTGATAGTGTTTGTGAAAAACCTGTGATGTTATGGTGAAACAACAGCACAGTTAGAACGCTTCTCAACCAATCAGCTCGCGTGGCCGGAACTCACTGTTGTGTAATATGTACATATTGGTAAGTTAAGACATCACTTATGCATTTGTGGGGCAACCAAATTCAAGAAAAACAACAGTTTGAAACTAAGGCTGTTTTCACACCTTGTTAAGTCTGAATCAGAGTTTGGGTTTTTGTGACAGTCTTTTTCATTTGGTCCGGTTGGTTTCACACTGCAGCAGCACCAAATTGTACACGTGAGCGCTTGTTTATCGGTCAGACACACAGGCTCTGTTACATTCACATATACTGCCATTTGAGGCAAAAACTCCAATTCCAACTGATCTCTGCTTCTTTATGATTGTTTGTCAATTTAACAAATCATTTTGCTTATGCAATACGTTCTATGATCCATGTGCCAAAATTAAATGTCATTTATTGCTCGTCTGCTGTGTTTAGCAGCTGCTTGTACTGCAAGAATGAAACAGCAGGTTATGTGGACGGTCCAGCATGTCGAGAAGTATATAAAAACATGCTTTAATGCTAATTTCCCTCGTTTGGTGTAGACCATCACAAAAATGTGTTCCCAGCAGCTGCAAACTGAACCAAGGTTCACTTGGAAGCTGAGGGAGACCCACATTTTTTGTTGGACCACAGTTCATTACTTGTGCTGAAGTCTGCAGTGCTGTGGCCCAATAGAAAGCAGTTGGACACTCCTGCTTTAATCTTATTAGGGAGGTTAATGACATTATTCCTCATTTTTAGATAAGAGAAGTCGTCACCTTGGATCAGATGGGGTGTATCTGGATGATCTTACAGAGCTGGAGCCTGAAGTAGCAGCTCTCTACTTTCCCAAGAGGTAGATAAAACATCCTTTTCGCTCGTTTAAGTGGCATGTAATTAGCACTGAAGGCTAACTCAGTTCCTTCTGTTTTTACTGGCCTAACTCTGTTACCTCGTTATTCACCTGATCAACTCCAATAGATAAACTTTCATTCTACCTTGGCTGTTGAACAAAGTAATTCAATTCTAATATATGGTCTTCTACTTCTGGTTTGTAGTGATGGTGCAAGCTCATTTAGGGGAGGAGCGGAGCTTAGGAGTGCCAATCAGTCACCTCAGTCAGTGGGCAGCAGTGGCATGGACAGCGGAGTGGACAGCTTTTCTGACCAATTAGGAGACCTGCCTAATATTGCCATTTCCCTGTGTGGAGGTCTAACAGAGAACCAGGAGTTAACTAGAGGTAAACTGGAGATTTCTGTCTGTTTTTTTTCAGCTGTTTTTTTTACTGCTTTTCTTCTGAAAAGAGAGAGACGCTGTCGTTTTATTAGTGAACATAACGCCTGTATTTTCTTTATACAGAGGAATTTCAGGAGAGAGCAATATCTTATCAGGAGTTTGCTGATAATCCGTCTATTATAGATGACCCCAATCTTGTTGTAAAGATTGGAACAAAGTAAGTGAAATCTTACTGGATTAGATTACAGTTTGTATCAGAATGTTCTGTTTATTTGTTCACAATTCTGTTTGAATCTTTAAGGTATTACAACTGGAGTACAGCTGCTCCTCTGTTGCTGGCTATGCAGGTGTTCCAGAAACCCCTGCCAAAGGTAAACACTGCATGGCCATTTTGCCACATTTTACTTGGATTACTTTAATCAGTGTTTCTTAATGCACAGTTTCAACTATTCTCTGCTTCTAAACGGCCAATTCAGCTCATGAAATGATTGACAAGTTGATGAGATGGACAGTTCGCTGAAACTGCAGCACTCAAGGTCCCCAAGAGCAGGAGTAGAAACACTGATTTAGGGTTTATAAGCAGTATTGTGCAATTTCATTTCCAGTCTCAGGAAAATGCAGGAAAGAATATATTTATCAGAAAATCACATAAAGGCGTCGAGCACTGGGTATAATGTCAAATTTATCAGTGTTTTATTTATCCACTCTTTACTTTTGTGCACACTATCGCCACCTTAACTAAATGAGATATTTCTGAGTCTGAAAGGACGTTTAGCTGTTAAGAACTAACTGAAGTCGAACACCAAAACTGGACATGGTAAGATGTGGAGTAAAGTCTTATAGACTGATTAGTCTAAATTTGTAATTGAAACAGAAAATGCAACCAGTTTCTAAGACTGAACTTAAAAGGCCTGGAAAAATAAAGGACACAAAAAGACACAATAAATGCTTAAAAATTTATATTATATTTGTGTTATTTTTCCTGAAGCTGAAAAAGGATTCATTTGTACCTAAAGGCCGTTTTGAGTGGAAATTAAAGAAACTGTATATTTTGGAAAAAATATATTTTTAGTATTAATTGCTGATATAGAACTGTTTCTTTGTTTAGATTTAAGGCTTTTGATCACACCACATCTTTTAGGTATATAAAGGGCATCAGATGTAATGTGTATAGTGTGGAATGCTACGCCACCTTGTGGTTTGCGCCAAGGCAGTTATTCTCACCTCAGAACATAACCGGTTTTCATGTTTGTAGTCTTTCTTTTCATGCAATTCATGCTCTGATCATGCTTAGACTGTGTGCTGTATTTTGGCTGCTTCCTATGTCAATGCTTATCATTAGCCAAAAACCAACTGTTTTTCCTGCATTTTTGATTTGCCACAGCTGCTACAGGCCCAGCATTGTCTTTTTCATTAATATTGAACCAAAAGAGAAGAAAATACATTTAAATACTTACAAATATAAGTAAAATATCATTAACAGTGCAATATTTTTTTGCTTTTAAACTCCTCATGTGGACCCCAGCTCTCATGTGCACCCCCAAGTGTTTACAACCCTGAAAACCTGAGTAAACTTGTCTCTTCCCTCCCTGTTTTCTTTTTTCTTCTTTTTTTTCTTTATTTCCATTTAATTTCTCTCCTTCATCACATCCCATTTGGCACTGTTCTAAGTACTCTTGCCTGAGTTATGTGTACTCTGCTTTCGGATTCTTCACCTACTGTTTTCCTAGCGTGTTTGGCTCCAGTCCTGTACGTCCTCCATTTAATGTAGTTGTGTATATGAGTGAGTGAGTGAGAGAGTGAATGAGTGAGAGTGAGAGAGATTTAGCCACTGCATGACTTTCTCTCTGTTTGTACAGTCATAACCACCCACAATCATTCAGTTTTGAGTTTTGAGTTTTGAGTTTGAGTATCAGGACCTCTGTGCATTTGCTCCAGGCTACAGTGGAGGACATTATGAAGGAGAAGATGCCCAAGAAAGGAGGACGCTGGTGGTTCTCATGGCGTGGGAGGAACAGCAGCTCCAAGTCGGTAGGTTGCCACTTCTTTTTTGTTACATATTTGAGTAGAGCTCTTATGATTAATTGAGTAAACTTGAAAAATGAACACAGATTACCTTCTGCAGTAATTAGTTGGCAAACTTACATGCACATTTTAGCTTCTCCCCCTGGTTAGTTCTCTTAAAGTTCAGCAAGGATGTCAGACGACAGGAAATTTTAACTTTGGATTTAATTGAATAGGTATCTGATTGAGTCCAGTGAATGACATTAGCCTGGTATTATTAAATATCGACAAATTTAAATAAGTGCCAATAATGTGCAAATAATTTTCTTTTTTGGCATCTTCCCCCAAATTTCATTTTTTCGAGCTGCCGCTACCACAACGTCAATGGACAACTCAGTACACTCGGAGAACAGTCAGTTCTTTTACATCATCCAACAGATGGCTGTGTTGGCCAGCATCCCCAAGAGCATCCACCAAATTTCAGAATATCATAAGAATACTATAAGATGTAAACATCTTAAACATGGCAAAATGGTATCTTTGATAGATTTAAGATGTTTCCTTAGAACGCTGGAAAGGAAACGCTGGAAAGAAGTTTATACTTATGTCCAACCAAATTAATGCAGAGAATCACTGGATATGAATAGTGTTGCATGCTGTCTCTGCAAAATATAGTAAGAACTATAAATGAAGTAATATTAGAAGCTTGCTAAGTTGGTAATTATATGTTACTTATATTACTATCAGGAAAAATTTTGACTCACATGTGGTGCTTCGTAATTGAATTTGGAAAACAACTATATTATTTTTATTTGTTTATTGCGATAATTCTGCAGACGATGATCATTTGTCTATATTTACATTATCGCCCAAGCTTTGCTCCCAATGCTTTCAATCTCTCTGAAAAAGTCCCACCTCAACAACCCTAAACGAATCCCCATAGCGAGCTATGTTAGCTTTAGCTAAGACATATACTTTGCTAGCTTGCTAAGTTTCTGTAAAAAGCATATTAATAAGAATGAAATTGCTCTTTAGAGGGATTTTGGATTCACTCTAACTAACGGCATGAACCCTGTATGAAATTCTTGCAGTGTTTTTCAAACATGCCATTTGTGGCTATAAGTTAGTTTGCAAGAAAAAAAGGAATCTACAGCAGTGGCTTCATCAAAGTGATGGAATTCAAGGCTTCTCTTGCTGTAAGAAACAGAGCCCGAGAGACTCTTTCATTTATATGCATTTTTTTCCTACATAATGTTTTATATTTTTAAGTAAAGCCCATGTGTCAAACACAAGGCCTGGAATAATTTTAAGTTTCTATTAATATTAGCCTGTTTCACAATGAGCTGCACTACAACCCCCAGCATTCATTGCTATGTAATGCGCGCTCTGACTCCACTCCCCCTAAAGCAATATATGGGACAGCAGAGGACAAAGAGGAAAGATGTCAGGTGTCTAGGTCAAGCAAATAGGCAAGTTTTAAAAACCTCCCTCCTCTGTACATTTAAAGAGGTTTAACTGTTACCTGTAACTAATGTAGCCCATTGTTTTATATAAACAGTTTGTTTTGATTTAAAATGATTTTTAAACAGCTCAAGTATTCATGCAATATGTCAAAGTCTGCTACAAGGTCTTATATTTGTATTTTGACTAAACAATATCCAGTTCGGATCGTATCAAAATGTTTTTAAAAATGAAATAAAACATATTTGTTCTCTGACCCACAGGATTGTTGAGATTTTTTGACATGGCCCTTTTAGTGGTTGAGTTTGACACCCTGTTTTAAAGTCAACCTGAAATCAAAAATCATTGTTTGACTCATTAGTGCATGCACCTGATCATGTTATACCATTAAAAGACAAAATTCTTGTTTTCCCATAATCTTTGATTAAAGTACAGTGACTTTGGCCTGCCTTGAGTTTTTGTTACCTCAGCGTTCAACAGTGGGTGAAGGAAAATAACATCAATCCCCTCCCATAATGCACAGCTACCTCAGAGACCTTCCCACATTCACTCAGAAATACCTCGCAGTACGGAAGGAAAATGTGTTATGAATTCTGATTCATGAGTATTTCATCCTCTTAAAAGCTCTGTGTGATTTATTGTTGTTCAGTTCAGCTCATTTTATTGTTTATTGCTTAAACTCTTAATACATGATGAGGCAGTCGTGGGCTGGAGGTTAGGGAACCAGCCCTGTGTCCGGAAGGTTGCCGGTTTGATCCCCTGAGCCGACAGTACGTGACTGAAGTGCCCTTGAGCAAGACACCAGACCCCCAACTGCTCCCCGGGGGCTGTGGATAGGGCTGCCCACCCCTCCGGGCAAGTGCGCTCACTGGCCCCTAGCGTGTGTGTTCACTAGTGTGTACATGGTGTTTTACTGCACAGATGGGTTAAATGCGGAGGTGAAATTTCCCCGTTGTGGGACTAATAAGGGTCACTTAATCTAATCTTAATCAAAATAATACATAATCAATAGCGACAGCCCTATGTTTGAGATATTTGACACCAGATGACCCAAAGATTAAACTTCATTTGGACTTGGCCTCAATATGTCCTCATTTCTTCGACTGATAAAGCCTTTCCTCGCTCCTGGTGTTGTTCATAGAGTCTCAACATGCAGGAAAGCTTTGGCAGCAGGTTGAAAGCATTCGGCTCAGTCACCGTCTCTGTTTCTGCACCAGGAATCTGCAGCAGATCAAGTGGAGACTGGAGAGCAGGCAATGATAACAAGCAACAGGTAAAAACTTCACCCACCTAATGATTCAAAACCAAATATCTGAACAGTCTAGAAGCAAAACAGGAAATTGTTCTTGTTAATGACTCACACAATCTGATCACTCAGACCTTTGTTATATGTAATAGGTTAATGACTCGACGCTGCGTGTTCTGTGATCTTTTGTTGTGGGCTGGCTGGGGTTTCGTAACAGGTTAAAGGATGAATCATCCTCGAGCGACGATGACAACAGAGCTACTAAACAGAAAACAACATGCAGCCAGCAGGAGCCTCTCCTCAGTCCTGGTAACGTCTACTACAGGAAGACCCTGCGCTTGTCCTCGGAGCAGCTCGTAAGCCCCTGTGAAATATCTGAAATTCATGTGCATATACTGATATTCTCAGCCTTCTCTAATAATGAACTGCTATATTTTAATGCTCAAAACTGTACGCAGATAGCTAATGTTAGTGCTAGGAAGCTGAATATCTTCTTGCAGCTGTGTAACTGCAGTAACTGTCCTCATGTCATCATTATAACTGAGAGAAGAGAAATGCCTCATATGAGGAGGACAACAAGCAAAAAGCCTCAGTTAGGAAGGCTGTTAATCCAACTTTCCTCAGTTTGGCCTCTTTTCTCTGGTTGAAAAGGTAAAAAACTAGGATCTCGTCCATTTTTGTGTTAAATAACAACAGAATCAATGTTTCTATGATTTTGTTCAAAGACTGAGGTAAGAGTTACAGTAATGCTAGCTTTACTGTATTTATTAGCTTATAGATCAGTGGCTAGACCAGCAGTCAGGAATTGTTGATATATTCATGTCTGTATGATAAATGTAAATTCTGCCAAACTGATGAGGCCTAGGTACTGCTTTGCTACAAAATACTGCACAAAAATAACATGTTCAGCTCTAATTTTGGCCGGAGTGCCCCATTAACGCAGTGTATGTATTTTCCAGCATTTTATTTCCATTTAGATTTCTGAAATGTAGAAGCTGAAATTTCCCATTCATAAAAACGAACATGCACAATAATCTTGCACAACTTAAACACTAATGTGAACAACTTTCCCAGATACCATGTGACATAACCCTAGTTAGCGCAGCCGTGCAATGATCAAATGACTTAAGCTAGCAGTGAACAAGGGTCTGCTCACACATCGAGGTGCTACTGACGCCATAGTCGGACACAAAGTCTGTCACTTTAAACATCCTTGGATGTGGTTTCTGCTGTCACTGTACTACAGAAACTGCTGTTGAAAGAGACTGATGAGGAACATAGGATCAAAACTACAAAATGTACTTTACTTACAGCTGTACAAAAGCACTTTTCTAACCTGGAAGAAAACTGCCACGCTACTTTATAGCTAACTAATACACACCATTTAAAACAGCTAGATTTTAATGCTTTACCTGTTAAGGTACATTGCACTCATTTTCACTAACAACTATTTCATTCTGTGTGGGTCACTCATTATGGTATCAGTATCAGCATAAAGTACTTAAACTTGTAATCGGTCTAAAAAAATTGTATCAATGCATCCCAACTGCTTAGCAAAGTCAGAGATGTTATTAACGTGTGTTAATAGTTAACCAAAACAAATTCTGTTCTCAGGCCAGTCTGCAGTTAAAAGAGGGCCCCAATGATGTGGTCTTTAGTGTTACCACTCAGTACCAGGGTACCTGTCGCTGTGAAGGAACCATATATTTGTGGAACTGGGATGATAAAATTGTGATTTCAGATATAGACGGAACCATCACCAGGTGAGACTGAGCAGAACATACGCACCTCACATTATTAACAAACGCTTATATTAAGTCTGTGGTCAACAGTAGGAGGAAAAAACCATCTTGGTTCAGGTTGCAGTGTTTAAAAGATCACACTTACCATGGCTGCTGACTTCTTACAGATGTTTTCCATGTTAAGGTGGCTTGACTACTCCTACTTATTGTGGTTTCATGGAATGTCCATGGAATGTTGTGGTGAAAATTCAGGAGGGTTTTACATGCACGACTTTTCTATCTCATCTATAGATCAGACACCCTCGGACACATTCTGCCAACACTGGGCAAAGACTGGACCCATCAGGGCATTGCCCGCCTCTACCACAAAGTCAGCCAGTGAGTTTTACATGGCTTATATATTTAGCATGAAAAGCAGTTCCAAGTAGCTCCACTGTATGTTCACCTTGTTTTATTTTACACAATTACAAGCATCTTCACCTAATTGTTTTCCATCTTGTTAAATAGGAACGGCTATAAGTTCATGTACTGCTCTGCGCGGGCGATCGGAATGGCTGGCATGACGAGAGGTTACCTGCACTGGGTAAACGAGAGAGGTACCATGCTACCTCAGGGTCCTGTTCTCCTCAGTCCTAGCAGCCTGTTCTCCGCCCTACACAGGTGAACATGGATGGGGAGACAAGGCTTATATCTCTGTCAGTGCTAATTGTGCTGGAAACACATCTATCTGTTTTTTCATTTTGTGTTTTAGGGAGGTCATTGAGAAAAAGCCAGAGAAGTTCAAAATTGAGTGTCTGACAGACATAAAGAACCTTTTCTATCCAAACACAGAGCCTTTCTATGCTGCCTTTGGAAACAGAGCAACTGTAAGTATCAACCTGAACAACTGCTCGAAATTTTATTAGGCTAGTAGGGTTATATAACAGGTATGTCTGTGTTGGGCAGTAAAATAATGGTGTAGTCAAACGCAGCGATGCACAAACACATCGTCATGCACAAAGATCCTTTCTCACTTTCTGCACTCATGCGGTTTTTAACACAGCATAAAGAACTTTGCTATATCATTACTCAATTTTACACCCAGTATGTATTAAAGGGAAATTTTTTTAAATTGCTGCATTCATTCAGTCGTTCACACTGGTTTTCTGTGAGACAATTTCTTGCAGAGAAACTTACAGGCTTATTTACAGTGGTGGTGATAAGAACCACAGGTTGCTATGACTACAACACAAATATAGCCATTTTCATTACTATCCAAAACCACCAGTGAACCTACACATCTTCTAAACTTGTAGATGTAAAGCTGATATCTGTAAAATAGTGGTAAATCTGAAATATGGAGACTATTTTGCCTCAACCTACATGTACTTTTCCACTATGAATGGATTTAAAAATACGTTTTCAGCAAAAACCTTATTTCAAAACTATTGTAAAACAATGTCTCAGGCATCAGATGGTATTTGTACGGAGCCCTGCTGGTGACATAGAAATAAAAATAATGAGTGGAAACGAGATCCTAATATGTGGCCACAACGCAGTTAAGCGTGGGACTGAGATAATTAAGTCATGGCCATGACTTATTATCTTGTTCTCATGCCTTACTAAGTCGTGGCCATGCATTATTTTTTACAGGATGTCATTTATACAGGATGTCCCCAGCAGGGCTCCATAGATTTGTAACCATTTCGTTCAATACCTTTCTGAGATGTAGCTTTAGAGGCATCAGATACCCGAATCCGAACCCTTTATACTTCTGGTTCCTGGTTCTGCTGGCCCAGAAATTTTTAATAGTTACTTGCAGCATCAAAACTGAGAATGCTCTTAGTCTTGATTGAGAAATGGTTGTGTTCATAGTGAGATTCCTGTCTTTAGTTCAGTTGCAGATAAAAATGAACGTTATAATCTGTGACTTACTGAGATTTCACCTAAGACTCGAGATTACTGGGATCTTCTGCTCTGGAGAAATATCTGAGCAGTTGGAGACTTAAGCAAGAAATAAAAGCATAACACCAGTTGCACATCTCAAGAATGATAGTTGTAATAATATTAGATGCAAAAATGCTGAATTATCAACTTACAATGAGAAACATAAGGTAAATCAGCTGTTATAAACGAGAGCATGTGATTTTGGGCAAATTCACAAATTAATTAGGGTTCTTTTTAACTCACAAAGTACGTTAACCTCTCTGCAGGATGTGTATTCATATAAGGAGGTGGGAGTGCCCCTGAACCGCATCTTCACTGTAAACCCTAAAGGAGAGCTCATCCAAGAACATGCGAAGACCAACATATCCTCGTAAGTGCCTTCAACACCTCCCTAAAGGAGTTCACACAAAAAGCTACCATCTCTGAAGTGAAGGAAAGCTACGCTCCTTTGCGCCGTTATTACTATCCCGTGCCCCAAAGTTCATACTTGTACTTGTAAGCATGTTCATGTGCTCACCGGTGAGTGGCCAAGTGTGCTGTGTCTCACATGTACAAGAGCACAGAGAACACAGTTAAACACAGTGGTGACATTATGGCATTTAGGAAACATCAGGAAAGAACATTAACATAGGGAAAATGTCCAGAACTAGCTGTCCTACAAAGGTATGAACTCATCAAAGAAAGAAACTGCTGTTGTTCTCAGAACAATGGACTGTCCAACCAAAGAGTCCAGACCTCAACGTCATTGAAAGTGTGTTTGGGATTACTTGGATCGTTAGAAGCAGAAAATGCAACCAGTGTCTAAGACTGAACTTTGGAGGTGTTTGTAAGAAGCAGAGAGAAAAATCCCTGATTTCCAGATCTTAGATGCCAGATTAGCAGTTGGGGTAGTGTAGTGGGTAATGCCCCCCATGCAGTGGACTGGGGTTTGATTCTCTGCCCAGGTAAGACTCACAACATGACATCTGCCTATATGTTGAGCATGATACAAATATAAGTCACACTGGATAGAAGTGTCTGCCAAATGTGTGTAAATTTATTTGAAAACATTATTGTACGAACCCACACACTTGCCGTCTACTTTACTGTTTGATAGAAGTTTGTTTCTGTCCCCCTCCCAGGTACGGCCGTCTGTGTGAGGTGGTTGATCATGTCTTCCCCCTGCTGATCAGAGGCAATACGTCTGACTTCCCCTGCTCAGACACCTACAGCCAGTTCACCTACTGGAGAGAGCAGCTGCCAGAGCTGGACAAGCCAGATCAGACTGTGGAGACCAGCTGAGGGAATCGGCACACAGCACGCATAGTTTTCCCTGTCTGAACAATAGCATATCTCTACCATGACAAGGCTACGCCTGCCCCCCCCCTTACACACACAAGGAACATCACTGTTCAGACATCATGTCACCCATTTTACAGGCAAACTACTTTAATCACTGCAGTGCAACATACCTTTAATCTGGTGATGCCCTACTTCGAATCCTTATAATAGACTGTAACACACTTATTACACGGAGACATTCTGCTTTTTTTGTTTTATTTCAGTAACTGCAAGGATTTACACTATAGGGCCAAAAGTATGTGGACACCTCTCCGAATCAGTGAGTTCAGGTGTTTTGGCAACACCTATTTCTAACAGTGTATAAAATCAAGCACACGGCCATGCAGTCTCTACAGACCAACAAGAGCTCAGTGACTTTAAACGTGGCTCTGTCATAGGACGCCTCCATCGCCACAAGTCAGTTTGTGAGATTTCTGCCCTGCTAGATCTGCTGTACTTTGAACTTTAAGTGTTATTACTGTGAAATGGAAGCGTCTAGAAGCAACAACAGCTGGTAGACAATGCAAATAATCACAGATTGGGGGTGCTGAGTGTTGAAGCATGTAGCATTTAAAAATCACCTATCCTCGCCACAGAGGTTTAAACTGTCCCTGGAAGCATCAGCATGAGAACTGTGCATTATGAGCATCAAGAAATGGGTGTATACAGCTGAGCAGCTGCACACGAGCCGAAGATCACTATGTGTAATGCCAGGCGTTGGCCGGAGTGGAGTAAAGCGTGCTGTTACTGGACTCTGGGGCAGTGGAAACGTGTTCTCTTCAGTAATAAATCATGCTTCACTATCTGGTAGTCAGGTTTGGTGGACTCCACCTCCCAGAATGCATAAAGACAACTGTAATTTTTGTTGGATGAAGGATCATCTGGGGCTGCTTTTCAGGGTTTGGGCCCCTTAGTTCCAGTGAAGGGTGATGTTAAAGCTACAGCACAAAGACATTTTACAGTTATATACTTCTAACATCTTTGCAACAGTTTGAGGAAGAACCTTTCCTGTTCCTGCATGTGCATACCGAATGTGCCCTGGCCTTCTCGTCCGAAATCTTGGGGAAAGCCTTCCCAGAAGAGTGGAGGCTGATATTCATGGTGAGGTGTCCACATACCTTTGGCCATGTAGTGTTGTCACCATGGCGATTATATTTGTTCTCAAACCAACACTAAAACTGCAGCGTCTATATAAGGAAATGATCGTTTTATTTGAAAAAAATATATTTTCAGATACTAACATTAACCTGAGAAATGCATTTTAAAGATATTACTGTCAAAAAGTGTAGAGAAACAAACGGTGTGAAGGCAGCAGTGGTCAGTCTCTCAGGTCTAAAAGTATTTAGATACTGTATGTTATTCAGTCACATCGCAACAGCTCATTTCTTTATGCAGCTCTTTTGCACCTGCTCAGTTACAAACGTGAAGAAAGACGTAATCAGCTTCGTAATGGTATATTACTTTGTTCTCTCTTGCACAGAGTTGCATTTTCGCAACGTTTTACTGAATTTAGAGCACAATACCGTTCAGAAATATTTCTTTTTAAGCTACATAGCATTCCTTTATTTGTGTGTCTGATATTATTTTTTCCTAGGATTGTACAAATGATCAGTCAGCAAACTCAGTACATCTTTAGACCTGCAATAGGAAGGAACTCAGGGTCTCCAAGCTGCCCTAAGTTAATGTTTCTCAGTTCAAATAATTCAGGCTAACAGAAATAAAAGGTAAATAGTTTATTTTTTAAATAACAGTTTAAAAAGCTGATGTCTATTACTTAAAACACCTGTACTAGATTCTTAATCTAAAGATGAAAAAGATGAGCTAAATAATCAGAGATGTTTTATTTTTGAGAAATCAGCATCAGCAATTGTATGGTTCAGAAACATGTTAGGTGTGTATGGAGAATGTGTTTTTATTTTTCTGGTAAGTGTTAAAAGCTGATGTATTTATTGTTCTTGTTGAGTGTATAAATAGACGGTTTGAATGGTTTACAGGGTTGCCAGATTGCTTTAATGGTTACCCGCCAAAACATGCATTACATCTAGTATCAGAAAAAGGTCAGCATCTTGACCATTATACTAACCGCTGATGTTTTGCTCGTTTTCAGAAAATATATATATATATATATTAATTTAAATGCATCACGCATGATAGCACCCATGATCCCATGCAACAAGAAAGGTAAATAAATAATAAAACTGCAAGCAACAAAAGAAGCATGACTAGTAAAGCTGGTTAATTGTTGTCTCTTTTGCAAACAAGGGCAACTTTCTCCTCTCAACAGGAGTGAATAAAAATAATGATGTCGCTCAAAATTTTGATAACTGGATATGTGAAGGTCTACTCACATTTCAGCTGTATTACTCAATAATGCTATTGATCAACAATCAATTAATGTTATATAGCCAAAAATAATGACAAACAAGCCCAATCTGACCAAAATCCACAGTTTGGCAGGAAACCGCCTAATCTGGCAACACTGGAATTGCTTCAGCGGCAGGGCGTTACCTTTAAACTACAATATCGCTGCTGACGGAAAAAAAATCTCGTATCTCCATTTTTGTCATTTATCAGTTTTTTAGATGATTTGAAAATACCAGCTCTTTACATTGTGTGTAAATTTCATGAACCATGGTCCAAAAGAAACGGCCCAAAATGACTTGGAAAAAGTCTGGTTCCATTGACTTCCATTAAAAGTAAAGTGTGTTTTTCCTTCTCCTGTAAAGTTACCATTTTGGAGATATGAGGTTTTGTTCAGACTGCAGCGAAACGCTTACAAGCAGAATTATTTCAGTTAAACTTTTATTTTAGCATGTAAAGCAATGAGCACCTATGTTTAGATGAGTAACCTGGACTGACTGTTTGAGAACAGCTAATGTTGCAGTGACTTCCTACTTTGAGAAGAACTGTTTCTTAAGTGTTAAAATAATGTGGTATTGATCAAAGCAACGTTGAAGATGCAAATTATCCTGTTTTGTCAGGGAAAAACAGTCTTTTATTCTTTCAGTAAAGGATAAAACATTGTTTTTTTTCGACCATGTTGATAGTAAACCACTACAAACCATCACACTGTGAATGACTGAGCTGGAGACTGTTGGTGTCTCTGTGAGAGCATTTTCTTTGGTCTAGGAACCTTGAGCAGAACCCTGAGCAGAACTGCAGGGTCATCACTGAGCTCTGGTTACCTGAACTTACATTGCGAAGCTAATCTGACTCGTTTATTAGGACGTTAGTGCTGTTTCTCATTTCAGCAGCACTGAGTCAGTAAACTGTGTCCTCACTTGTCTCTTCTGTCTCTGTGGATTCTGATATTCTTTCTGTGAAAGATTTCATTGCCTATGTTGGGTTTCTGTGTCAGTTCAGTCTCTGATATTAAAAAGATCACAGTAGTGTTAAACCTTATGATGCCACATCTGGATCAGTTTAATAAAATCTTGCAATTACAAGAATCCAGAACCAGGTTCTTCCGCTGTCTTTCTCACACACAAACATCAGTTAGCTAAACTGTTCACGCTAACTTCTGACATTAGTCTAGTCTAGTCTAGTTCAGTCTAGTTTAGTTTAATTTAGTTTAGTTTAATTTAGTCTAGTTTAGTTTAACTTAATTTAGTTCAGTTAAATTTAGTTTAGCTCCCCTTTTTTCCTCCCACTGGTTTCTAATATAATCCTTGTTTGAACAGTTTGATGTTTTGAACAAGGTGTTTTGCTTCATTTGCCCTTCTCGCGCAGATATTCAGCTGAACATGATTAATATCTGACCGGTGTGACCTGAAACTAGCTTTGGCCAATGTTTTAATATCGTTAGCGTGATAACTAACCTCACTCTGCTTTACCAACATGGGTATGGTCAGTGAAGGACTGACCAACACGTTTCAGTAACTAAATTCAGTGCAGGAAGTGAAATGTTGAGATGGTAAAATCACTGCACTCAGCTTCATTAACAGAATCTCTAAATGTGAGGCGAGTTACTGATGTTATTCTCCAACTAATCCAACTCAGAGAAAGAAACTTGTGACGTGATGAATCGTGAAAATGTCTTTAAGTCCTGAGAAGCTGCGCTTTTCGCTCATCACTACCTGAAATAATCGATTCAGAAAGTCTAGTTTTTTGTACGTCTTCTTCAAATATTCTCGCTATGGGAACAAAACTCTGCACTTCTGTTGTTTTTACAGAACGACCTTGACGATCTGGCTGAGATGTTACACGGTATATCAGTGTAATTTACACTGTGATGTTTAAATACCATCCGAACATCATATTTAATATGAGGTGAAGGTTCTTCTTACCCAGCTTCTCCACAGCTTCCACACAGACGCTGGGAAACATGTCTTCGTTGTATGTGGCTACTAAGACAAAGAGGCCGGTTCTGACCAGCACCAGGCCGCGGCCTCCCTGCGTGGAGAGGGTGAAGCGGTAGAACAGCGGAGAGTTCGATACTCTGCTTTACAGAACTTCACGGAACAGCAGGTTCACTTACGCGCTTACAGTAGATGGAGTTCCTGTCCGCTCGCACACAACCGAACTCCTCCTCCTGGAAGCAGAAGACCCCCCACGGACCCCTCTCCAAGCCCCGCTCTCGCACTGCAGCCAGACGCCTGAAGGCACCTGTGAACGCCCGCGCTTCCCGAGGAAGGACCTGAAACGGACGCAGGAAGGACCCGGTCAGAGCTGCAGCGCGGAGGCGAGCAGTGACGGAATGAAGCCGTTAGCATTAGCTGAGGTAGTTAATTAGCTAACCAGCTGAGCTCAAACTCACCTGCAGTCCCGGTGAAGCCGCCATTATGCCGCCACTTTTAGCTGCGAGCACAGCGGCGCTCTCGACGTGCCTCGTGCTAATGAGACTGTCGATGATCAAATTCTGAAACGGGTTCATTTCTCCTCCGCGTTAAACCCCGAACACAAACTTTCTCAGCGGTTGCCACCCTACTTAGCGTCCTTAGCAACCGACCTGCTGTAAGAGCAGGTCCCCTTCACTTTAAATGTGGACATTCAGTCAAAGGACAGCTCCGCCCATTTTGCATAATTTATGCCTAATTAAGTCATTAAGATGTAAACAAAGTCATTCAGAGTGACTCTGATATGAACTGATGCATTATAGGCTCAGATGTCTTTACAGTGGTGGTGATGGGAACCAGGGGTCACAATGTGTACAATGCAAATATAGCCTTTTTATTTACTGTCCAAAACAACCAATAAACATATATATAAGTTAGTGTTATATATATATATATATATATATATATATATATAAGCATATAAAAATACACTCAATGTTGATGATACTAGTAGCAATCATAGTAATCGTGGGGGAAACCAGGCTGAGTGAGCAGCTAAACCATCTTAGATCAGCATGGGACAGATGCTGGTCTGCGCTGTTTTTTTGGGAGGGTAATCTGTCACTGTACCATGAATGTGTTTAAAATGTTTTAGGCCAAACTCTCATTTCAGAGTGTCAAACATCTCCAGCATCAAGCAGCATATATACATCTTTTTTTGTGACCGTTTTCTGTGAGGTAGCTTTTATAGGCATGAATTGCTTCAGATGTTGGTTCTGTAACCATCATTGTGAACGACTGAACTCTGAAATTCTTCTTTAGGGGATTAATACAAGTTGAAGTACAGCAGGTTCAGGGGTTGCAATGTCAACAATGCAAATATAGCCATTTCAGTTATTTACCAACCAAAATTCTGTCATATGTCTTTATGTATTAACAATACACACAAATAGAGTCAGACATCCTCAGAAGACTTGTCCTTCACCAGGTTTTCTCTTTGAACGGGCTTCTCTTTCAGCATATTGCAATCTTCAGATTCATCTGCTCGGGGAGGAAGTCCGAAGCACAGCCAAGGATACAAATGGTTCTTCTGCACGTTGCATACAATTACAATTTCCACAAGAAGTTCCAAATGTTCCCCAAATCACCAAATGTTACAAAGAGCAGCTTTAAAGTCAGTCATTCATAAAGAATTACTTAAAAATTAAAAAGAACAAAGAAGAAGAAAAATGTCAAATAAATTTTTATTTGCTTCAGAACCCTGATTTTTCTGTTGCATATTTGTGCTCATGTTAGATACTCTGCTTGTGTCATTTTTGAGTAAATCAGCAAAGCCTGCACTCCCAGAAGATAAAAAAAAAATATAATAATAATAAAAAAAGGCAGACACTGAGATGGTATTTAAAACATACTTATAGCTAAAATTGAAACAAACCTAACAAAACCTGCACTGGATCGTAGATCCTGGGCAGTTTAAGGCAGAGGGCTAATGAAGCGTGTGGTGTAAATGCTGATGGCAGTAATGAACACAGTGAGCTGCTCCTAAAGTGTGGATAGTCAGAGACGCATAAATTAAAATAAATAAAACGCACACAAAATCAACAGTGATTAGTCCTTTTTTAGGGTCTCTCCTGTGTAATCACTTCATTTGTACCATTATGTAGTAAAACGTTTTTTTTTTGGGAACTTTCTGGGAAAATAAACTACCGTTTCCTTAAGACTTAAGATCCATAAAAGAATCCAATTTTTGAAAAACTGGCAGATGCAAATGCATTTCTACATAATAAAGCATAGGTGCATAAATTATACAGTATAAGGTTAAAGAAGCTTAAAAAAAAAGATAGTAGTGTTCCCTTACAGGATCAAGTGCCAATCCTGATCTACTAAAAATCAAATCAAATGAAGAAAAAAAGAAATAATACAACTTCTACTACAGCAAAATAGACAGTATGTTTAGAGAAAAATAGAAATCCTGAGAAATCTCTACATCCAGTGGTAAACTAGTCTGGCAAAACCACAAATGTCCTCCATTTTAGGTCACTTGTTATACAAAATGCTGCAAATTGCAAAACTGGGCAATTAACACGTTTGACAAGAAATAGTCTCACATTCAGTAGCACGTTCCACAGTAGTTGAAGGAGCTGTAAGGAAAGGCAACATATGGAAGATCTGGAGGAATTCGGTAGCTCGTTTGTGCTGAACAGGCGGGTTCTTCAGCTCAAATCCTCTCAATTCGGGGCTTTGCCATCAAACAGTTGCAGGTCGAGCCTGACCCACACCTCTCCGGTGGGCACTTCGTGAAGCAGCAGCCTTCTGATGGCTGGACCTTTGTTTGCCAGCTCCTTTTTGATAGTGGCTACAGGAACCTCGGTGCGACCAAGGAAGTCTACAGGAGGGAATGACAAACAGATTTCATAACTCAGACGAAGGTAGGAGATTAAAAAACAGGAGTGGATAAAATACAAAGAAATTATACTTATGAGTGTCGTTAATCAATTTAATGGCGATCCATTTTTCCTATCACCACCACTGTAAAGACATCTGAGTCAACAAGTTTCTCTACAATGAACCATTTCACATCAGACCACTCTGACCGACTTTGTTTACATCTAAATGATGGAATTTCACCAGATTTTTGAAAAAACAAATGGTAAAATTTATCTTTGAACATACTCAACTACATTAAAATGAAAAGTAAATATTTTAACAAATAAACTGAAAGACTTCTTTGTTGTGGTACCAATCCTCACACTAATACATGGCGTAGTTACGGCGTAGTTGTGGGCAGTTTTATTTTACACTGATATTATGATTTTGTTGGATGTTTTCATAAAAACTACAAATTCAAATTCACTGATCGATAACAGAAAGGGAGAAAACTGGTCTTTGAGAATTGTAATGAGTATTTTGTTTGAGGTTCTAAATGAATAGTAAAAAGGATGCTTGTCCGCTTGGACTGTATTAATTATTTCATTTCAGTGATGCGTGAAGTACAATTAATGACATTTTCACCCCTAAGAAAGACATTACGTACCATCAGGAGAAAACTGCTCACGTTCATAAATGGTGATGCACAGTACATCCTGATAGAGGTCCTTTATGTGGAAATGACAGTTGAAGTTCCACTTAGGGTTGAGCGTGTCATTTAAAGTTCGAGAGGTGTAGCATTGTGCACCCATGGTCACCTCACAGTACGGGTTGCTCTTTCCTAATAAGCGGAGGAGAAAGATTTAACAAGGGTGAATGAATCAGGATGAATACCTACAACAGCAGTTCTGTAAGGAATCAATATAGAAACTCACCATTTGGCTTAGAGGACTTCAGCTCTGTGGCCTCCTGGATAGTGACAAGCAGACGACCAATTCCACTGGCTTTCATAGAACGAGCTGACAGAAGGATGGAGCATTACACATACATACATACATACGTACATACCAATGGGACTAATTAAGGATTGTCTTATCTTCTCTTATCTATACACACAACCAGTCTAAAAAACTCCGGACAGGGACAAAAAATAATAATAATTTTATTTATATATATATATATATATATATATATATATATATATATATATATATATATATATATATATATATATATATATACACACACACACATACACACACATACATACACACATACACACACACACACATATACACACTGTATGATAGCTGTATAGTGCATAAGAACTCACTTTGATAGACCTTCTCCCGTTTCTTTTTCTCCGTCTCGATGAACTCCTCTGAACCTGCCTTGATCTTCTGAACCCATGCAGTCCTAGAAACACCGTTTCAAATACAGATTATTACAGGTTACAAGGTAAAACGGATCTTCAGTGATGAGAGAGGATAACGTACAGTAAAATTCTTCAAATTTACCTCTCGTTGATGTTCTCTGTTTTGAGAGTATAGACCCTGTCAATGTGAGAGATGTGGAAAACTGGCTCATCACTGGACGGGTCAGATGGCAACTTCACCAGGACTTCATTTAGGAACACAGGCTGGAAAAGACAAGATGTGAGACAGTTTTTTGAGGCCTTGTTTAAAAGAGATTTTTGAAAAAATCTGTTACTGAACAGTTAAAATGTAAAGTCATTCACAGTAGTTTACCCGATTTTCTCCCCAATTTAGTCGTCTCCAATTCCACCCTCTAGTTAGGACCCCCCCCAATCACACGATGCTATCAACGCTAGGAGGGTGAAGGCTAACACAGGCTTCCTCCGAGACCTGTGAAGCACCACCGCTTCTTTTCGAACTGCCGCTCACGCAACATCACTGGACAGCCGAACGCGCTCGGAGGAAAGCGCCAACCGCCAGATCTGTTACGTCAGCTAACAGACGCCTGCGCTGACTAGCATCGCGCTGAGTGATGAGGGGAGAAGGAGGGGCCATCCCACCCACCCAGAGAGAGCGAGGCCAGTTGTGCTCTCTCGGACTCCCGGCTACGGACGGCTGTAGCATCACCAGGGATCGACCTCGCGATCTCCTGATGATAGGGCCAACGCTTAGACGGTTGCGCCACTCGGGAGCATTCACAGTAGTTTTGATGTGAAATGCTTCTTTCCAGACAACCACAGTGGTGGTGATAGGAAACAGACTTCTGAAATGTTTAATGCCTCTAAAAGCTCCCTCACTGAAAGTTAGGACATAAAATAATTTAAAAATATGCTGATTCCTGACACATTGTCTTCTGATAGTTTTATAATATAGTTTCAGCTTGAAATCTATATTTTAAAATCATACCTGGTGGAGAGGTCTGAGTGTTATAAGGCGAAATAGTCCCTAAAGAAAACTACTGTACCATTAATAACATTACATGGACAAATTTGACATGTAGTTCATTTTGGACAGCAATTAAACTGACTCTGCATTACAGACACCTGGTTCCTATCAGCACCACTGTGAAAAAATCTGAGTTTGTAAGTTTCTGTACAATGAACCGTTACAGATGGCAATGCAGTGTCCTAGAGGACAGATAGAGCCTTGAAAGAAGTTTCTGATTTATGCATCATCAGAAATTCTACATCTCACAGTAGCATATCAAGCTGTTATACTAGCAAATCAAACTTGTAAACAGGGTTTTGTAAGTTGCAAAAAAGAAAACTTGATTTTAAAAAAATCATTTTTGGTCTAAACTTGTATATTCATTGATATTTGTCACTTGTAATGAAGGCTGTGTAGTCAGGTTTAAACCCTTACTGATTTGTACATCTTGTACTGGGTGTTGGACTTTGGGCTAAAGAGCCTGTCTGAGCCTGAGGAGGTGAACTGCTTGACAGCTTGGGTGAAGAGCAGGAAATCATTGAAGAGGAAGGCATACAGTTCCTTGTTGCTCTTGGTCTTGAACAGTTTCCCACTGTGCAGCAGCTTTCGAGGACCCAGGCAGTTGGTTAGAGAGTTGAATACCAGGTTCTATTGGGGAAAAATAAACAAAAAGAAAAAGATTTAGAAGAAAGAAAGCTACATTTGTTGATTTTGTTTATAATGTAAATGCCAGCCCGACTATCGAGCACTGCGAGAGCAGATTCACTTACAGCAGTAATTAACCAGCAACACATGTGAAATAACCTCTTTTAGTTACTCAGCCATGCCTATAAGCACACCATTATACCCCAGTACCTCTTCAGTTCATGGCTTTGAAAGTCAGGAGTGGCACATTAACAACAAATGACAAAACAAAAACAATCCAACTGTTTATAAAAACTACAGAAGACTAAACTGGAAATTGAATCTAAGTCATAAATCTTTGGCTGGACTCTGAACACATCGTAATATCCTTAGTTTTTCCAAAACATTTATCAATGTCGCTTGCATATGTTCATCAGTGTCTCCTGCAAATATATATATTTTGAAGGAACTCAAGGGCTAAGGGCTAAGAGAGAAATGTATGACGTTCTTTAAAACTGTTGCTATCGCGAACCTGGGTAGACAGAAATGTCTGAAAGTTGATACGTTTTGTCCTGTCTACAGTTTTCAATGGATCTTCTGTGTTGAGAAGTTACTAAGTAGTTGAAATGTGAATAATACTACATAAAAGGCATCACTGCTATGCACATTACATCATATGGCTGGTAACATCACCAAAACACCCCACACAACCCAGCAAGCTTTAACAGTCAGGGTGGTCCAGCTGCTTTGGCAGTAGTAGTCTACAGTCTACACTCAACACTCAACAGTCTACAGTCTACAGTCGACAGTCGACAGTCGAAGAAGCTTGTTTTGTTACAGAACAGAGTTCAGGTTGAGCATCAGGGACGTTTACACGATGCCTTTTTAAATGCGAGGCACACAGACCTGCGTAAAAAGCGTAGAGTTCCTTGTGTGTCTGCCATGAACTACAAAATGAAGCATGACTTTCGAGGTCTAGGACATAGTAATGAGTTTATTAGAGAAAATGTGGCATGTTGCTCACCTCTGTGATCCCCTCACACTGGACGTGGCTCTGGATCCACTCCAGCCGATCCGAGTTCTCCTTCTCTCGCACGCCCTCGTTCACCTGAGAGCACAGCTCCTCAGCTTTCTCTAGAGCTTCCCGCAGCTGAGCATGATCCACATGACTCTCAGGAGTGCTCTCAAGGATCTGGAGACAAGCAAACATACATCTAGATATTTAGTGCTTAGTTATTCAGAGTTACTTAGAGCTTTTATCCTCTGAGTAAGATCTTTGTTTCAGAAATATGCCAAGAGACAGCAGAACAAGCTATACTCACGTTTTTTATGTGGAGAGGGTAGCGTGTAATTCTTTGCATAGGCTTCAGTAAGAAGCTGGACAAAGGCATTCCTTTACAGCGGTAGTCTGTGGCTATTTTCTGAGGATTTATAAAAAATTCGAAATCAGTAACACACGATCTACGTTGTTGGGACTGGGCTTTAGACTCACAATAAATATCAGTGCTATTACTACTACCTTTATTGGACTAAGACTCCAATTTCAGTGAAATTTTTTAAATTAAAAAATAAAGTCATGATTAATCTAAATCTTTCAACTTCAATAAAAAAATCAAAAAGATGTTTTAAAAAATTATTGAAAAATAGAAAAATTATTTTTACAAATTAAATGATGATTTTGCATATATTTAGCTTAATACTGTCTCAATAGCCTGGGTCTAAATAGATAATAACAAACCTTGTAAGTATCTAAGAACTGAATCCTTAATTGTTTTTTTTATTAGTTTTTTTTAATGTGGGTCTGCAGCTGAACTAATTCTGTAGAATGATCTACAGGGAGATTCAGTTGAAAGAGGCCCCGAATATTCTGTAATAACTCTCTCTAGGACGAAGCAATCTGAACAAAACAATGTGCAATGATCTCCTCAGTATATGGAGCTTCGAACAAGCCAGGATGCCCCTGTGTCAGAGCGATGAGGTAGGCACCGGACAGCCGTTGCGACGTTAACCTCTGTTTGCAACTTCTGGGTGCAGACCCCCGTACCCCTTCATGTGTCTGGCAGAAAACGGAGATCACTTCCAGTATCGCGTGTAACGCAATCGATTCCACATATGTCAAGGTATGTAGCTATTTTCTGTTCAGATTGCTTCATCCTAATGGGAGTTAAAACAAAATATTCGGGGCCTCTTTCGAGTGAATCTCCCTGTATATACAGTATTTGGCTCTTTTGGGGACTAATGGTGTTTTCTCTGTTATCTTTCTTAATTATGCCGAGATTCTGCAAAATCAGTGGAACTAAATGTAGTTGTGGTTGAACAGACAGAACGGAGGGGATAGAGAGGTAGTGGAACAGAACCAAACTGAGTCTCAGCGGTACCTTGAGGAAATCTTTGAAGTCTGGCTCCTGGTCGGTCTTCTGTTGCAGCAACGCGGCAGCGTTTAACTGGCAGCTGCAGAAGCGAATGTAGGCCTGCATGTGAGAGAGCTCCGCAGCCAGAATGTCGCCCACCGTCGGCACAGGCATCTTTTCTCCTCCCATCTTCTTCCTCACTCGAAGGGCCCTGAGCCACACATAGTAAGACATCATGTTAAGGAACAGTCAAAGAAGGGGACAGTATGCTACAGCGGTCAACGTCTGATAGCGGTTATACAGATTCTTAAGAAGAGAGCAGTTCACATACTTCAGCAGCTTTGTGTTGCACATTATGAGCTCTTTCCAGTTGACGAAAATCATATTCATCTCAGCTTCAGTCAGCCGTCCCGATTCAGACATTGGCTTATGGAACACCTTCAAGAAAATCAAAACACATCATTGTTTTTGCACGAGTAGATCAGGGTCTTATTTTTAGAACCTTTAATAATCAAGCAGTATTCTAGGCAGTATTCGTCCTTCTAGTGAGAGGAAACAAGTATTCAGACATGTTTGTTTTTGTCAGTTAATATACTTCCAGTGCATAAGTCCACTTTCAAAAAAGTGTGTATTCAGACAACACAAATTAATATCATTAGTACTTTGTTTGAAAGCTGTTGTTCGGCAGTTGCAGCTTTGAGACGTCTATGGTAGGAAGTGATTAGCATCTTTACAGGATTGTGATTTGATTTTCTGCCAATTCCTCTTCGCAAACTGTCTTCTATTCTCCAAGGTGACTAGGTTTCCTCTGCTGGACTTGCAATTCAAAATTCTCCATCAACTTCCAAAAGGATTAAAGTCAGGAGGTTAGCTAGGCCACAACTTCACCTTCTTTAGAAACCAGTCTTGAGGAAATTCAGCTGCATGTTTGGGATACTTGTCTTGTTGAAAAGTTCATTTTCTCCCTTTTCTTGGCCGATGAGAGGAATTTTCGGCTAGTATGTCCCAATATATCACTCCATTTGTGTTTCCTTTAATGATGTGCAGCCCCATATCATGATGCTCTCACTCTTGTATTTCACTGTGACGGCGTTCTTGGGATCATATGCTCTTTCTCCAAACATGACAAGCTGAATTACTGCCAAAGAGTCCTATTTTGTTTCATTTGACGAGAGAATATTTTTCCAATACAATTCTGATTTGTCTAAATGCTTGTGTGCGAATTTTAGACAAACATTTCTGTGCTTCTTTTTAACAGAGGAGTTTTAGGTGGGATGTAGGAACGGAGATTGTGTTGCGGTTCAATACTTATTGTTCTCTGAGTACCTGCTGTCCTGCTGCTTTCAGGTCACCCTGCAGCTCTTTTTTAAAGTGATTGCTGGCTTCTTTTTAACCTTCCTTATCATTAGTCTGGAGTGGAATCTCATGGCGCACCTGTCCATGAACTGACTCTGGCATATAATCAAACCCGTTGTACTGACAGGGATGTTTAAGGTATCTGGTATGACTCTGTAGGTATTTCCATTTTAGTGCTGTTTAATAATGTTGTCCATGAGAACTTCAGGAAGCTCCTTCACCTTCACCATGGTTGCTACTTGTTGCGTGACATTTTCCAAACCAATGACACGGTCTTTTGTAACAACACCTGGTGCAGTGTGATTGAGAACATTTCTATTTTTAATCTTTACGTATATCCATAGTGAATAGTGAACGCTTTTCCCCTACGAGTTTTTTTTTTTTAAACATGTCTTCGTTATTTGCTTATTAACACATACTTTTTTGTTTAAAATAAGCACAGTTAGATAACATTGTGTGTGTGTGAATTTAAAATGGATACACACTCTGGAAGTGTATTAAATAACAAAATTGAATACTTGTTTCCTCTCACTGTATGTAGGTGCACTTTGTACGTTTGCAGTTACTGACTGTAGCCGCACAGTTTGTCAGTCGCCCTCTTCCTCATCCATTAGTGGAAAGGGACCACCATAGGACCACCGCTGACCAGGTATTTGAGTAGTCGATTCTTAGCACAGGAGTAATTACCTATGCCTAATACCTTAAGTGCATTTATATGATTACCTGATAAAATGACCAGTGAGTATTACAGATGGCAAACTGGTTTTGATGGATATTGTGCCAATATCAGCAGAAAATGCTGGACTGGATATCAGTGGGGGAAAAAAAAAAAGGATGAATGAAATCCACACACTTACATTTTGTCAGATCATGTTTTAGCAGAGCTGGGCATTGTTCAAAATGCATCAATGCTTCCTGTATATTTTTTTAAATGCCTTCTTTACAAACCAGAAGTGGGTGGGGCTTAACTCAGAATTGACTGAGCTGCTGGAAGCAGGTATATTTACTGACTGCAACAGATTATAGTGTAAAGCATAGATTACTATTGGCTATATAATGTCCCTATAAATACACATAAATTGATATAAAACACAAATAACTTGCCAAGCTCTCAATATGGAACAAGATTTATGTTTGCGTGCTGTAATTATTTCACCCGTGACAGAACATGAAGGGCTATATGTTTAGTAAACCAGCCAAATTACCTATGAAACAATGGCTAAACAAACATTTTAAAAGATTTTAAAAAGATGAATTTCTCCTATCTAGGTAAACTCCTCTGTCTCCATCAGATAAAGAGATAAACATATAAGCCTATCTGAACACTCTTTCGAGTCCTGTTGAAAATGTGGACAAATGTTAAGACAGCTCAACAAGACTTTATAATGACCTGCAGATACCCTGATTTTCATCTAAATAGCACAATAATCACTGATCCAAGTCACTGAAAATGTACATTTTGTCTTCTTTTACATACAGTAATCGGTTTTAATGAAAGAATTGTGAATTTTAATTCAGACGGTATCATAAAGGTACTGAATTACAATTGCTATCCCTATTTATTAAATAATGTATTTCTTACTGTGGAGTTTTGAAGCTTTTTTAACTTTAAGACAGCAGACAGAAGTAAAGCCATTCAGTGTGTTTTGATGTGAAAGAGTTCAGAAAGAAACTCACCATCTCACTTTTCTGAGTGGTGGTGATAGGAACCAGAAGTTGTAATGTTGAGAATGCAAATACAGCAATGTACCTTTCCGCCAGGAATGGATAAAAAATACAATTCAGGCAATTTTTAAATAAATTTTTTTCCTCTGAACTATCAGAAAACACACCAGACAGCATATTCATAACCATTTTATGTCATTGTGTTCTGTGATTAAACTCAGGTCTGGTTCCTATTATCACCACTGTAAACAATTCTGACTTTCATTTCACATAAAACCACTCGACAGTAATGACTGGATTATTTGAAAAACTTGCAATACTTGAAAAATGGGCTGAATTTATTGAGCTTCAATAAAAAAGATAATTTTAAGGCTTAGTACTTTTAAAAAAAAAAAAAAATAAAATAATAATAATAAAAAAAAAGCAGTGGTTCGTACTGGTTTTGGCCAATACTCGAGATGGTAGTAGCGTACTGCCATCTTTAAAGAGTAAAGGTGCAAAGTAGATGCAGCACTATAAGATCAGTCTCAGTCAGCGTACCTCCAGGACCAGCTGAAGGTCCTCCATGTATCGCTCTTCTGTCTCAATGAGCTCGTGGATGTAGCCCTGCCGTTTCTTCTCCTGAGGGCTCATGGAGTCCAGGCTGGTCAAATCAGCGCACCCTACAATGAGATTCAAGCATGTGGTGATCTCTGACTCAGCCCCCCCAAATAAAAAGACACCCCCCCTCCCCCATCCTCTTCTAAAGCCACACAGCAGACACCTTCACACCCTCCCAGAGCTCCACAACAAGAGCACTAACTCCAAACACAGTCAAGAAGCAAGCAGGGCAATCACTGAGGCAGAGATAGGAAGGGCACTCGAAAACGCTCACATCAAGCCTTACCTGACGAGGCCCCCCCATTCTGACAGTCCTGGAGCCCCTGTGAGGCTGCTGAGTCTTTCAAGGTGCCTTCATCATCATCATCATCCACATCCCACAGTCTTAAAAAGAGCAGCTTACTGGTGGTGCGAACGCTCATTGCTCAGCACTTACACAGCAGTCAGTACGTTCTGTCCCTTCTTCAACTGCTCTACACAACAAACATGCAGATCTAGCACTGAATGGAAATCTGTTTTTACCAAAATAGTCAGACGGTGGGTGAAAGGCTGCGTGCTTGGCAAGCTTAAGACTGTCTGTACTGATATTGCAGGGCTCACTGCCTCATAAAAGTCCTCAGTAGCACAAAGAAACAGGTACAGAACATGACAGGAGTGAATCATATGGTAAAAAATGACCAAACAGTCCATTATTCATGCACTGGGTCAGTTATATTAATGAGAGATCTTTGAAAGCAGGACTGCATTCTGAGTCTCCCCATACTGACAGTCCTGGACTCAATGTGTTGATTCAAATTAGAAACCACAGCAGTAAACACTTGATATTCTCATATGACTTAGTTGAAGACAGAACTATTTGAATCAATGTCTGTGACTCATCAGGACACTTAGCTCAATCATATCTGTGAAATTTCTGATTATTTAACAGAAAATTCTACTGATTTTTCTGAGAGGGGTTTGTTGTGAAATGTGGCACTCAAGAAAACTTAAAGTGAAAAATGTTCAAAGTGGTGATAGACAGGTGACAAAACAGTAACAGAACAGTAATAAAAAAGGTATGAGTATTAAATTAGTCATATGAAGCAACGACACAGATCAAATTACAAACAGAATTACAATAAGAGATGTAGACTTTTAATTAATAGCGAAACAAAGACATTAATTTTCCAAATGTTTTTAAAATTGTGCCCCAGGCTTGACTGCCTAATGAAAGTGGAAGAGAGTTCCGCAGTTTACGAGCATAGTAAGAGAAAAGCTTCTCCACGTTTCCTTTAGAAGGCAGATCTGCAGATGTAAGACGACGTGTTGGAACATAAACAGATAGAAATTCTGTGAGGTTTGCAGGTGTTTTAAGGTCATTTAGAGCCATTTAAAATCCACTCAAAGATACAAGTAAACAGTGAAGTTCTTTCGAAACAGGGTGTCATGAGTTCTCTTTGTTTTTGTTAGGATTTAAAGACAGCATAACAGTAAAATGAAGTTTCTCTGCGTCACTCTGAGGTAGAAAAGGCTGAACAGTAATTCTCAAGTGATAAAAAAACGACTTCAGTGACTCGTTTCCATGAGGGACAAAACTGAGCTCAGAGTCTAAGGTTACGCCCAGCTTTCTTATTTCAGGTTTAGAGGCTTAAAGCATTTAATGTCTCTAAAAGGTTCCTCACTGGAAGTTATTACATATAATGTGTATGAATATTTTGACTGATTGCACTGTTTTCCAATAATTAAGGTTTGGTCCATGTAAAACATGCAGAGTGTTGTAAGAAAAAATATTCCACTCTTAATATTTCATATAAAAACTCAGATGTAGACACACATGTAGGTTCACTGGTCAGGTAGTAAATAAAATGGCTATATTTGTGTTATGTGTATATATGTGTAGGTAGCACAACACCTGGTTTCTATAACAACCACTGACAGTAAGTAAAAACAGACCATTTAACATTAAACCACTCTGAATAACTGTTTACATCTCAGTGATTGAATTATGCAGAAATTTTGAAACAAACAACAAAAAGTCAAATTCTCTTCTAAGACAGAATCTACAGTGCAGCCCAACTCTGAAATTACAAGTTACAAAAACACTGGACAAATTTGAATAATGACAAAATTCAAAAGGGATGACAGAAACTGAACTGGGTGAGTTTTTCAAAGGACTTTTAATGTCTAGATTTCTTTAATCAAAAATATATTACAGGATTTTTTCAAATCTCCACAATAAATTCCATTAAATTATTTTAAGTTTAAACTTCTGCCACACAACAAATGTTTGCATAGCTTCACTAAAGATATTGACATCTACTTATACAAAGGAGACTTGGGAATAAAAACAAAATGCAAGTGTAACAATGTTTAAAGGCATAGTGCTTGTAATAGCACCATTTGAGCTAAATCGGTTTCATCTGAGCCATAAACCTTAACTTAAAACAAATAATATCCTTCCTCTTTGTTCATTTCACCTCCTCGAGTAACTAACATTTGAACGTTTATCAAACATAAAAGCTAACTGCTCATAAGTGATTGCACCCTCAACCCAAAATCACTGTTAGCGCAGCGTTGAAGTTGCCACAGTTTACCGCTGTTCTGTTCTTCCAGCCACCCAGTAACATTTGTTCAAGACAGATACAGGAACATGACCTCCTTCGTGACCGTGGGCCATTTTCCTCTCTGAACAACTATCACAGCAGCCACTACAGCATCTCCAAAGCACAATACAAGTTAAAATACTTTATTTTCAGTTAGTTCATTTGGATCCTACAACAGATTCAGACATTCAGACACCACACCAAACACCAGAAGGGATTAAATCTATGCCTCCCGTGCCTTGAATACTAAAAGAAGGGAAAAATTCAGTTTCAGACAATTAAGACTGAAGCAAAAAAGGCACACAGAAAGGCCCACTACCACTTAGTCACTGGTGCTCTAGACCTTCATGAGGCCACCACAGCTCATGCTACTGTGATTGATACTGTTGTCAAAATCTTGTTTATTGTGATGCAGTGGTTTTGAGTTATGTCACACATCCCTTCAACCAACCAATCAAAACAAAACAACCTCACACGAAGAAGACATACTAAGCTGTATGACTTGTAAGGAGAGTTAGAGCAGAGTGTGTGTTTGTGGGGGGTGGGGTCAGGGGGGCATTAGGAAGGGGGTACTGGATTAGTATATGTCGACGGTTTCACGGTGAATGGGGTCTCCTCCCCTTTTAGAGGGGGAGATTGTGGGTGTCTCAAAGGTGAAGAAAGAGGGGATAGGTGCTACCACCCTAAAGAAGAACAGAGGAGAGAGAACCCAAAAGGAAAACAAAGCGTAAGAAGATGGATAAAGGATGATTATCAAATTCTTCTTGCCCTTGTGGAAATGAAAATATTCTTAAAAATCCCAAACTTGTTTTTTCACAACTATTTAATTCAAATGGTTGAGATGTAAACAAAGTGATTCAGAGTAGTTAATGTGAAATGGTGCACTGTAGAGAAACTTAGACAGACTCTGATTTCTTATCAATGATGGTGATCAGAGCCAATGGTTGCAACATCAACAATGCATATATAGCTATTTTATTTATTATATAAGTATTTAAGTTTTTATATGCAATGTTGATAACGGTAAAATAGTGATATATCCAAAAATTCAAGTTTTCGTTGGTGACTATTTTGCCTCACAACAGCCTGAAAGTGTTTTAAAATAAATGGTTTAAGCCAAAATCTTCTGAAAACTAAAACAATGTCTCCAGCATCAGGCAGAGTATTCATAATATTTTTGTGTAATAACCTTTGATGAGGGAGCTTTTAGAGGCATTTAACACTTCAGATGTCCTTTCACCACCACTGTGAACAATCTTGACTCGGTGAGTTTCTCAAGAACAGAGCATTTTTCATCAAACCACTCTGAATGACTTTGTTTGTAAATCTTATTAACAGAATTATGCCAAACGTTTAGAAAAATCGGTTTTACTCCCCTTTAGATACAGTATTCTCCATCCGAAAAAAACGACCTATACTTTTTCGTGCTGCGGCGTCACTCCTACCAGAACAACGTATTGTGCTATACACTAATCAGAATCAAAAAAAAAAATAAATAAATAAAACAGCAAAAAAAAACCACACATTTAAAACAGACAACCAACAAAAATGTAAGGCACCAGAGATGATTTCAAATCAAATGATTTTCTGAACTAATCGGTTCCATTAATCGGAACATCGTTTGTAACTGGGTACCAACCACAATCAGCACTGAGGCTTATGAATTATTAGAAAGCTTCACTGAAAACTGGATTCTTCGTGCGAAGTCTAGTGATCATGGGAACGAAAAGAATAAGGTCCGTTTCAGGCCTTTACTTACACTGCTGGCAAGGGTCAGAATCTGAGGTTGTCATTTTCACATAGTTGGTGGGGAACAGGCCCGTGACTCCGTTGATCTCTCCCTTCCACCAGTCAGGGTCACTTTTGTCCAGCACGTTGATGAGCTGACTCTTGGAGAAGCTGAGCTCGTCCTGGTTGGCCGCCGTGTAGTCATACATGGCAATGACCTGGCAGACTGAGAGAAGCAGAGAGAGATGGGCTGAAGCAATAATGACGACACGGAGAGATTAGCGCGGTTATGGAGGGCAAGAAGTCTCTCTGCTTTACCTGCTACAGCTGCAGGGGTTGACTTGCCGCTGTTTGAGCCCAGTTGCTTGACGTGAGATGCTGGGAACCAGCCCTTCTGACGCTTCTTACCACGCGCCTGGAGCATGAGCATTACAAAATAAATTTACAGAATATTATACACATATTCCACTTAAAAGTCCACTTAAAAACTGTAGATTGTAACCAGAAGGGGGAAGTTTATGATTGCTAAGGTGTTGCAATGGTTTTCCAAATGGTTGCTAAGGCATTGCTAAACTGTTGCTGTGCTATCATAGGGGGTTGCTAACATGTTGCTAGGCTGTTCCTATGCTATCCCAGGTGGCTGCTAAGGTGTTGCTAGGCCATTGCTATGGTGTCCCAAGCAGTTGCTAATGTGTGTGCAAATCTGTGTGCTAGTAAGTGCATTTGTATGTAGATGTCCACATCATTTGCAGCAGCACACAAAAATGATGTTTTAACGAATGCTGTACAAAAACCATACATGCAATTGATTTCAAAAGCATAAGTGCACTTTTCCTGCACAGGCACTTTGATCCTGCAATGTTTTGTGGTTCTAGCATGAAAACTGCAACCTATGAAAATGATACCAAAAAACATTCCATAAATTTGATTTAAAGCAGCTTTAGTACATTTATCATTCAATTTTCATACAATTTTCATATAGTTGCTGTGTTCAATGCTGTAGAAAGGTAAAAATCGAAAAAATAGAAATGTTGGAAATGGACATGTTTTTCTTTGGACAGCAACAATGAAAATAAACATAATAAAATAACGAAGAACGGCAAGTTGGTTTGGTCAAGCCCACTTAATTATGTGCACTTTTGATTATCAGTGATATATTTGACCAGTTTAACTAGACTAAGTGAGCAATGGCTTACTGTTTTTAAAATAAAGATGGCGCTGTGTTTTAAGATAATGCTTGGCACAAGCAAAAATGAGAAAGCTTTAGCACTGTCTATTTTGATAACAGCCTTTCTCAGAGAACAGTACGTATATACAGGGTTCGATTTGAGAAGAGATGTGAAGAGATTCTCCCAGTGAGAAAAAAACGACAAAAACCATCCCTCTTGTAAAACGGCAAACCCACCTTTCCTCTTTGGACTCATGAGATCACTTTAGACCTCTATTACCGATATTTTCATTCCATCTACAAGTGAGTTTACACACTGTGGTGGTTATTCATGTCAAACAAGTTGTGATCAGTGCAGTGCACATGCTACCACAGAAGAATGGGTTATGTAGAATTGCAAGCTTTCACTTTTCATTGGTTATGCTGTGGAGTGTTTCCCACCCGCTGTCAGGGTTGCCAGGTTCATGGCTTTCCTGCCAAACTGGGCTAGTATAGTTAGTTTGAAATAGTTTGAAAATGCAGTCATGTCAGAAAATTCTAAAGTTTCAGCTTCTGGTGGATGACTTTTAAGCAAACATTGGGAGATTTTTACTCAACATGACAACCTTGAACACTGAAAATAAAGCAAGAACTAAGGACTATCTTTAAACAGAAAAACAGGCATGACACACAATGTTAAGTAAGTGATGAAAACAATATAAAACAGTGGCACTGCCAGTTGCATCTCCAGAATGACAACTTCTAACAAATTTAGTGACAGAGTATTGCCAGAAGTGTTGCTCTTGTTGTCTTACTATGCTAAATAGCTTTCCATTACCAGAAACCTCAAGTAGCTCAAAGTCTGAAAGAGAATGCACCAAGGGCACTGACCATGCCGGTTTACTCGTCTGTTACTAACACACTTACCTGCAGTTCCCCCAGCCACCAGCCAGTGGGGTTCTTACTGAGGATGAGGATAAGCTGGCCAGGAACCAGATTCAACTGCTCAGTCCCTGAGGCCGTATATGGAGCTGTCACCTGGGCTATCTCTGCAACACAGAAATGCAGCTATATTGAAGGTAACTGCACAGATTTTACGTAGCTCAAGACAACTGGCCAAACTTGCAGAGGTGCAATGAACTTACCTGGCTTCTTTCCAGGCAAACCAAGCTTTGAAGTCTATAAAGAACAGACAGTGTTAATGAAAAGAACAAACACTCAAGTTGTAACAGCATTTAAAACAAAATGTATCTCCAATTACATCAGTTTCCTTCGGTTTAACATAGTTGGCGGGGAAGAGTCCAGAGCGGTCTCCTATGCTGCCTCTCCACCACTCTCCTTCTCTCTGTATCACCAAAACAGTGTCTCCCTCGTTGAAGGTCAGATCTCCAGGTTCAGGGCTTTCATAGGTATAGAGAGCCACATATTCTACAGAAATGTAAACGGGCAGTATGGGTATGTGCACACAAAAACAAAAAAGATAAACACACATATATTAGGGTAGAGGTCACAGGTAGGGAAACAACACCATTTTGTTTCTGTTATTTTATACAATTTCAGTGCATATATCCACTTCAGTGTATGTATTCACTAGCAAAAACTATGATTAAAAAATTTTAATTCATGTGAAAAACAATTCAGACAAAGGTATAAAAATAAATCACGTAAATCAATGCTGCAAAAAAAAAAAAAATGCACCTTATGTGACTGTGAAAGACATTGCTAATGGTTGGGAATCTTTCATTCAACAAATTTAATAGAGAGCTTCCTAAAGTTCTCAGAAACAACATTATTAAACAACACTCAAATGAAAAACGTGACAGAACAATAGCAAAGACCATAAAGTTCCTGGAAAAACATGGCACCCAGACAGGTGTGCATGCACAATTCATAATGCATTCTCAGACTAATAAGGAAAGTAACAAAGAAATCACTCTAAAAGAGCTGTAGGACGAGCTGAAGGCAGCAGTTACACAGAGAACAACTAATGAACTGCACCACAATCGTCTCTCTGTTCCTACACCCCATAAAAAACTTCATGCTATCCCCCGTCCACTGTTGTAAACATCTATGAAGGGTGCACAAATGTCGGAACTGGACCTTGGAGACTCCTGTTTTTTTTTTTTAATCCCATGGAGGGCAGGGTACAGGTGTGGCATTTACCTAGGGAAGTGATGGCAACAGGATACATTGTGGGAAGAAGACAGGCCAGAGGAAGGCATGTGATACTCTGGGAGTCCAGGCGTTTATTTGGATGTCAAATAACATGTGCCACCTAATTAACACTGTTGGGACCAGGTACATCCCTTCATGGCAGTAGCCTCTTTCAGAAGAACAGTGCTTTCTGCCACTCCGCACACACTGTTCGGGAATCGCTTGAGGAATGAAAGGACAACAAGTTCAAGGTTTTACCCTCTGGCCTCTGAACTCCCCAGATCTCAATCTGATCGAGCATCTGTGAGGAACAGCAAGTGTGATCCACCGCAGCTCCACCTCACAACTTACAGGACTTAAAGGATCTTTTCTAGCATCTTAGTGTCAGATATCACAGGGCATCTTCTGAGGTCTTGTAGAGTCCATGCCCTGGTGGTTCGGAGTGATTTCGGCAGCACATGGAGGATCAATGTCATATTAGGCAGTTATAAAGTCAACAGACATATTTTGCAGTGGACATATGCACTGGAAGTATATTAAGCTCAGGAAGTATTATTAACAAAAACTAAGGTGTCTGAATACATGTTTCCCTCACTGTAAGTACAACAGGCTCAAGGACAACACAGATATCCAGAGATTATTTTCTCAGCTTTGTACAGGCTTAACAATAGGATTAGCAGAGCTCTGCACGAAAACTGATTTGTCCCAGAGATTGGACAGAAATGTTTTCCCACATGGAGGATATCTTTGCATTTGTACAAGAAGTCATGAGGCTCTATGGACAAAGCTTGTTAAAAAAAGGAAAAAGAAAAATATAATCAGTGTCCATTAGAGCAGACGATGCACCCACTGTAACCATTTTTCAATGCTGACACCTGTCTTGGTCGAACATTCAACTATTTAGTTGTCTGAGAAAGGCAAAAAAAATGGTGTATTTGTGACCATCTTTGCTTTTTTACCCTCAAGAGAAGAGCCGTCTGCTGCGGACGAGTCAAGTCCTTCCGTGGAACTAAAGGCAAAGAACAAAAAGCAGAAGACTGTTGACGAGTTCAAAAGCCTGGTACAGTGCAAAAACCTGCCAGACTATTTTATGTATTTGCTGCTCAATTACATTATGGTTCACTGAGTAAGTAATATGAGCACCATGTGCATTATTAAATTGTGTTACTGATGTTTTAAAAAAGGCCTTATCTCACTAATTATTTCCTATTACCTGAGCTCCACCCCCTTAGATCCTACTATAAGCAAGAATTAGATCCTAGTCAGCTATCTAGGATAAATAAACAGAAACTTTACTCTGTCGATGTGTCGCTGCTGCTCAGCACAGTGACGTAGCTTTTGGGGAACCAGCCCTGCTTTCCATTTAGCTCTCCAAGCCACCAGTTCTCCTGCTGCTCCAGAACCATGATCACATCATCCTTGGAGAAGTTGAGGTGGCTGTCTGTTTTAGCTGTCCAAGAACATAAGGCTTGAACCTTAAGGTTCCCCACCATCTAGAACAGAATATGAAAGCAAAGGGTTGTAATGAAACAAGTTGTAGTGACACATCGGGTCATAATGTTACATGTTGTATAAGCAGCTTCCCTAAGGTTACATACCTGGTTGTGCTCAGAGGAGGTGGTAGTCGGGGCATGAGTGGGGGTGAAGGCAGAGTTCTGGCCTAATCCGCTTGGAACAGAAGCCTCAGTGAGTTTGCTGTAAATAACAAACACAGATTTTAAGAACATTTCAATTTACCTGAGAGGAAAAGTCAATTACTTGCTGCAGCTAAAGGAAGATTTATAGACTGTACTTAGAGACGGAGAGGGAGGCCTGAGGCTTAAGAGCTGGTTTGGCAGGGGGCTCAGGCTTTGACTGCTTTTCCACATAGCTCTCAGGGAACCAGCCCACTTTTCCCTGATGGCTGCCATAGAGCCAACCAGCCTCCCTTTCAATGGTCTCATCCACCTACAGAAACATGCAGAAAACTTTACAGTCAGCAGGATGTGAAACATCTTTAAAGCAGACTAATAACCTGGTAAATATATATATATTGTGCACACCAATTAAACATTCACAGTGCTGGTGGAAAAAGTAAACAAACCGTTGGATTTAATAACTCGTCAAACCTCCTCTGACAGCAATAACTTCAAATGAGTGTTTCTGATATCTGCAGATCAGACCTGCACAACCTTCAACAGGAATATTGGTCAATCCTTCCTTACAGAATTGCGTCAGCTCAGCCACATTCTGTGGATGTCTGGTGTGAACGTCTCTCTTAAGGTGATTCTACAGCATCACTACTGGGTTAAGGTCTGGGCTCTCAGTGGGCCACTCTAAAAGATTGTTGGTGTCGAGTTGATTGATTATTGATACAGTATTAATATTCGTGCAACACTTATAATAAACACTTTAGCACTTTGCATGTAAACGTAGAATCACAGACTTTTCAGGGTACCTCAATTACATCACCCGTCTCAAAGGAGAGTTCATCCTCATTCCTCGCTGCAAAGGGGTAGAGTGCTTTAAATCTGGTCAGAGCTGCTGATTTTCTGTGAATTGGCAGCCTATTACCTAAAACCAACAAGACAGACAAGAGAATACACTTTGACATTCATAGAAAGTTTGTCATACTCAAACCAAATGATAAGAAAGGTTAGCCAAGTTGCTAAAGGGCGCTTTATCCCTTTAACACCTCTCTTTATCCCTTAGAATTAAACCGTAGATATTTTATTTTTGTTTCTGTGCCTTTAAGACCAAAATTTCTAAATGATCTCTGTTCTGATTGGCTGCCCTGTATTAAGTCTCATTCAAACAGCAGTCCAGACTGAAACTCCTTATAACTTCAGTGTGAATGGGTGGAGCTAAACTACTGTAAGCAAGCAGAAATTTGTAAATCTGTGACATCACAAAAACAATTAGTTCAAAGTGACCCTTTTTGCACTTTAGTATCCATATTCAAACTGTATTTACTATGAAGTGAGCAGCATGTTTTTAACAATGTTTACATACTACACTGAACTTGAAAGTGAAAAAAAAAATTGGATTTCCATGATATGGATTCAGACAATTCTACATTGATTTAAAAAAAAAATATTAAACCAATTTTATTGCAGATACATACAGCACTGTACAAATGTTTTAGAAATCTGAAAATATTTTTTTGAAAAGCTGATTATCTGTGCAGTACATGTTTATTTACTCAGAGAAACACTATTAGAATAAATGTGTCAATTTTTTTACCTAACCATTTTGTAATCTCTCTTCATGGCAGCACAGTATTAATTGTAGTTACTGTCCAATACCTGGTTCGGCTGATCAGTGCTTCATGAAAGCAACACTATGTAAGATTTGCAGACTTGGAGACCTCTTTGGTGGAAATGTGTAATTGCATGCATCGTTTAATGTGCAATGTGCAATGTGTAATTGCGTGCATCTCTGTTTTGGACCTCTTATCCGAGCAGATTGGTCTGATGATTGCAGGGGAAAATGTTTCTGGTCTGCATTTCCTTTCTGTGAATCACATGATTGGGATTTTTTTCTCTCTGATTTAAGTTTGAAAAACACTGATCTATTTTCAAAACAATTTAAAAAACTGTTACTGTTCAAATTCACCAACATAATGATTAATCACCGTATATGTTTTGTTTCTTGTTAACTTGTTTTGTGTTGTGTGTGTTTTCACTTGTGCAAAACATCAAATTGCGTTTTTTCAGACACACTGTGACTGCAATCTAAACTGCGATTATCTTTTATTAAAGGAGGCCTGTTTTTTCGGCCACCCACCCAGAGGGTGAAGCCAGCTTTGCTTTCTTGGACTGCTGACTGCAAATGGCTGTGGCATCACTAGGGACCAAACTCACAATCTCTTGATGACGGGGCCATTAGACAACGTTTTAATGTTACTCTGGGATTTTTATTTTTGGCTTGTTTTGCATTATTTATGAACATCAACTTGTCCAGGGACTTCAGATAAATATTTACCATCTGACTAAATCTGGCACATTTATATTATAAAATATAACGCTGATAAATGTTCATATTTCCTGTTAAATAACATACAAAGTAAAAAAGTCATTTATTTACTGATCCTAAAACAACTAGGAATATTAAATAAACCATGTGAAAACACCCTTTGGTGTGTATTTCAGTCTACACTGTCCACACTGTGTAAGCTATTAGGGAATAAACTAACAGGAATTATTAATATGGCAAGTGATGCTGTACTTTTTAACAACAGTGCATGTATCAGTGTTTGTGAAGGACTAAGTGGCCAACTTCACAGAGGTCTCCTCACCTTTCCTCTCCTCCAGGCCTCGAAGCAGAGCAGCGACAAGGTCCGCTTTGGAATTACTCAGCTTGTTATTCTGTTTATTCTGCTTATTCTGCTGCTCTTCTTTCAGCCTTGCAGCAGCAGCAGCAGCACCAGCCGCCTCCTCCTCCTGCTTTCTCCTCCGCTCCTCATCTTGTTTCCTTTTCTCTTCCTCTCGCCTCTTCCTGTCGTCCTCCTCTTGCTTCCTCCTCTCTTCCTCCTGCTTCCTCCTCTCCTCCTCTTTTCTCTTTCGCTCCTCTGCGTCCCTGACAGCTGCTTCCTGTGCTCGGTGCCGCCTCCTTTCCTCCTCTCGCCTCTCCTCCTCTGCTTTCTTCCGCTCCTCCCACTTCCTCTCTTCTTCCTGTCTCCTCCTCTCCTCCTCCTGTCTTTGTTTCTCCTCCTCCAGTTTTCTCCGCTCCTCTTCCAGCTTCCTCCTCTCCTCCTCTATTTTCTTCCTCTCTTCTTCTCGCCTCTTGTGGTCCTCCTCCTCAATTCTCCTCCTCTCCTCCTCCTCTCTCCGTCTCCTTTCCTCCTCCTGCTCCCTCCGTCTCCTCTCCTCCTCCTCCCTCCGTCTCCTCTCCTCCTCCTCTCGAGCCCTGCGCTCCCTCTCTGCCTGTTCTTTGGCAGCCTGCAGGCGGGCCTGTCTCTCTCTCTCCTCCTCCTCACGAAGCTTGGCCTCTCGCTCCTCCTGCAGTTTCTTCTGTCTCTCCTCCTCATCTCGTCTCAGCTTCTCTTGCCACTGGCGCTCCTTCTCCTGCTTGATGCGCCTGCAAAGAAGAAACAGTCATCAGCATCCATGCTTCCACGAAACAAAGCAGTACATGGATCATTCTGCCAAACTGGTTCCAGGTGAGAGTTCAAAACACGGTTCAGACTTTTAACCGATGTGGACTTAAGACTAAAATTCTATGCCTTTAGTTTGTCACTACCAATACAATAATAAGGCCACCAAAACTTTGCCAGATGTTTCAGTAGCAACTGTTTTAGCTTATTTTCAGCATAACTCAAAAACCGCTAGCCAGTACACGACTATCGAACACAGCCGTTATACACACAAAATCATATTATTTTTACATTAAAACAAAATTAATTAATTGCAGGAAATGTTAATCTTTATGATGTTAATCGAAAATGTTTTGGTCCACACACTGATTTTCAGACTTTATTTTGTAAGCAAATGTGCCCAATGTGATGTAAATGCTCACCATGTGACCATGAGGGACAGGTATGCAGTCTCACTTCCTGATCTAACATGCAGGGATGTGGCTAAAATAAACTCTTTGTGTGTGACATGAAAATGTGGGACAGCATGTTTTTTGTATGCTGAATATGCCCATTTGGCTCAAGACATCCCTATCCAAGAGTTGATGTCCATGAAAAAAATATATAGTATTGAGCAACGAAAGGATCCCTTAAAGCTGAGCTGCACTGTGTAAAATGTCATCACCAGCAAACGCTCATCTATCCACGCCCTGACAACTTCACTCTAAGATCTGTCAGCCAACTTTAACATGTTCTGTGGTGAACAGAGCGGTTATCATTCTAGTTAAGGTCATGGAAACCAGCTCATCTGTCCAGGTTGAAGTTCATTTTATTCACCTATTTGAAAGAACACAAGACGGGACAGCAAAAAAAGCCACATAAATGCTTTTATGTCATTTGCAACCAACCCTGTAATACCGTTAACTGCCGTTATATTTGGAGACAGTTTAAGGCAATTAAAAAAAAAAAAGTGGACACTGCCCAACTTTTCGCATGACTGCATATGTGCAACCGTCACTCACCGCTGCTCTTCCTCCTCCCTCTTCCTCCTCTCCAGTTCCTCCTGTTTACGGTTCTTGAGCTCTCGAAGTTTGTCTTCTTTGATGAGACGCAGTTTTTCCAGAGCTGCCTGCTGATTCCTTTGGCTCTCTCGGAGTTCCTGCCAGACACAAACAGCTTAACCTCTCTCTAAAAACTGTTCTTCAGTTACATATACTGGACTTGGTAAAGTGAAAACTGATTTGGGGAAAAAAACACAAAGAACAGACACACCTGTGGTGTTTTTTTCAGATATGAATCATAAGTGGAGCCTGATTTATTCCTCTCTCTTAAAGAGGAAAGCTTTGAGTACTGTTTATCTGATGGTAACAGTTCTGGTGGTCAACCATAAATGTTTTCACTCCAGTTTGACAAACTCCTGTTTTCCCTCTTCTTTATGCAAGTGGGTTAACTTATATTTAATGTCCTCAGAAAGATTCCTGAAAAACTAATAAATTGTACTTAATGGCCATTTAGACTGGAAACAAAATAATGGACAGTGGACTTTTGCACAGTACTGTACATGACACAAATAAGTAGTTCCTTGATCTGTTAACAACAGAAAAATGTTAAACACCAAATGACTTTTCACCATGACCACCAGGAGTTCTTAAGTCAGGGGTATCCAGCATTGTACAAAACCACAACACCACACAGAGCATTATTTAAAAACATATTTCAGAATCTCTCTGTATTCTGTCCCCAGGCCCTACAGTCAGACACCCCTCCCTTAAGCACAGTACAATCAAACCACAGGAACACGTTTAATAAGTGAGACATGCAGAATGAAGAGCATCATGACAAGCCAGGAAAAGAAAGAGAGGGAAAGGGAGAGATAGACAACCTTCAGGAAGAAGAAGAGGTTATGAAGACAGCTCAGTAAAGAGAGCAGTCCCTTTAGCATACAGTCATCCATTTCCTCAAACTGCAGCGAAAGCCAGGGAGAAAGAGACAGGTAGACAGACAAACAGACAGACAGACAGACAGACAGACAAGCTCTACAGCTAGTTATAAAGACAAAGGGACAAAAGCAAAGCGGTTTATTAGTATCGGCATCTATGCTTTCAAAAATAACACAACCAATTTTGGAAGGCCAAAAATTAAAAGGCACTACTTCAGTTAAATACATTGTTACAGTACAAAAAATTCACACAGTTCACAGTAACCCCAGATGCAGTTGATTAGCTAATACATGTTTGGTGTCCAGATTTTGCTTCTTTAGTTTATAAATGGAGCTGCGAGGCAAATGTCGCTAAAAACCCTAGAAATCAATAGTCACCTAAATCTATTCTATAAAAACCTCTTCAAAAAGGTCTCTCAACCCACAAAAACTCCAGTTTACATGACAAAAAACACATAACAGCAGAAAATCTTGAAAGTGAGAGGTGTTTAACAATGTTAGCCTCACAGCTTCAGCTCTAAACTAAAGAAGCAAAATCAGGACTACTGGCTGATTGACTTCATCTACAATAAGGGGAAAATTGTGTACATTTGATTTTTCACAGACTATTCAACATTCATTAAACACCTAAGGGTTTAAAACTGGCCGCTCTAAATGCTCCTCTTAGTGTGTCTCGCTGTACATGTTCCATGATGGGCTTACCTGTATGTCCTTCTTATACTGATCCATTTCTGACAGTTTTGCTGCTGTTTCTTTCTCTAAAACATCAAGTTGTTCTTTCAGCTTTCGACAGTTGACGTCTTTCTCTGTAACACTCTTTTGTAATGTGGTCATTGTTGAAGCTGGACAGGGGAAAAAAAACATAAATAAACAAAATAAACACATTAATTTCAGTCATAAGCCAAACTGCTGATATGGTGATGAATCCAGGACTGTGCTATAAATAGGAATTCCACCGTTAAGATGTAAACAAAGTCAGTTAGAGTGGTATGATGTGAAAATGCATTATTCTAGAGAATCTTAGGCAGAATTCCTGTTTAACAATGACCACATCATGAACTAACAGGCCATGTATCCTGTCCTGTTACACTTTCCTCATATACCAATAAACAATGTTATATTCACAAGTACTAAGATTTTCTCTCTTGTACTCTAGTCTTACTTTGCACGTTGTTCAGATTCATACTTCGAAGTTTCTCATTCAGCTTCTGCTGCTCTGGAGCCAACTGTGCCAGCTGTCTCTGCAACTCCTGCAGAACACGTGGACAGTCCACAAAACGCTTTATTATTAAGACACAGACAAAATAATGGAAACACCGTCAACATAAGCCAATGAGGTAATAAACTCCTCTGTTTCAGACACATGGCTTTTTTCACTCAGCGGTCATATTAATGATCGTCTCCTGCTGCGCCGCAGTGGGAACGATGGTGAAGACTTAGAAGAAAAATAAATTCCGGTCCTGAAAGTGTTAAATAACATGGCGTATATCGTGATATATAACTTTCATTTTATATAATAAAAGTACTTTTGTGAGTTTTTGGTCACCAAAAACAGGTTTTTCAAGGATGGAAATGTTCTGAAAACTCCTTTTGAGTGTTTTGTTTTAGTGTTTGTTCATCCAGACGGGCTCATCATGCCGTTAGCTTGTGCATGTCTGTAGCAGTTTTATTAAATACGCAGAACTTTGTCTAAAATATGAGACAACTGGGTTGTTTGAGTGTGAGTGATAGGTTGAGGTGATTTGGCAGTTAAAATCATGTTACAAATTAAATTTGGCTTTTTGATTTATTCCCATAGGTAGCCAAGACAGCTCAAAGTGGTTCTATGTTACTTTTTTGATTTTAAGTAAAAATGTAGTTTTTTTAATGTATTATTGTGTCAATGCTATTTGATTTATATTCAATATTTCATCTGCACTAAGTCGGTCATCCCCCTAAGCACCAAGCCTGAGATTAGAAATGCTGAAAGTTACTTTGTTGATTTTTAGTAATAATTTAACAGCAGTTAATTACTGTATCCATGTTATTGGACTTTTATGCAAAATCTCAGATCTAGTCAGCCAGCAATCACCCTAGATAACCACCAAAGCTGCTACAACCTTTAAATGTGTTAAAATGTAAACCTTCACAGTTCTACAGATTACATACATACATGTATACATATATACACACACACACACACACACACACACACACCCACACACACACACATTATATATATGCTCTAAAATATAGGGTTATTAGGGTTGCTAGTATGCTGTGGTACACATACTACCTTGGATGTTTTTTTCCCACCGCATTTTAGCCTCCCGTCCAAATGAAAACAGAGCTTTAGGTCACAGATTTTTAAAGCTCTATTTTCTGTATTTCAATGTGGACGGATTAAAATGACAAAATGTATACATTTGAAAATGTACTGTTTAATGTGTGATGAGAAAACTTTAGGGGCTTTAGGTCTCCACATCTGACATAGCTGATGACTGGATTTATAGTGTGTGATCTGTAATATCAAATTTCAGAAGCTATTTAATTTATATTAAATTACTTTTGCTTGATCATTAGAGGAGAAATACAGAAAAACAGCCTATCCTAGACCGTCATGCAAGACTTATGTTGTTCCTATAATGTTTCTTTGGCTCTCAAAAATAACGTCCATTCAAAATCTGAAAGAGAGCAAAAGCTGATCTGAGTTTTACACTCAGGCAGAGCGAGTAAAATTCAGTTCTGAGAAGATTTTTGCCAGATATTTAGTGAATTTTTTTTAGAACTGTCATGTCTGGATTTTCCTGTTAATGAGCTTAATATTTCAACATGAGTCTTCCTCCTTTCTGAAGCAGCTATTCTACGCTAGAACTAGGGCATCCATTTTAGGCCATGTTTCTCTAAAGTGCAGCGATGTCCCGACTTTACTGGCAGTATTAAAGGGGAATTCAACATTTCTGTATAATTAAATGTTTAAGATGTGAAAAGAGCAATTCAGAGTGGTTTAATGTGAATCTTTCTGTTCTAGAGAAACTTGCACAATCAGAACTGTTCACATTCTTGAGGTGTATGTGTGTTGTAGACATTATGACCCCTGGTTCCCATCATCACCACTGTAAAGAAATCTCAGTCAGTCTGCTTCTCTACAGTGAACCATTTCACATCAGACCACTCTGAAAAACTGTTTACATCTCAAAGACTGAATTATACATTCACACATGAATGATCATATATTTTGATCATTCAATTTTTTTAAATTAATAAGAAAACGTTATGGAGTCATGAGAAAATAAGTATCCAGTCATTTAAATATCTATATTGTCTATCTGTATATTTTATTTCCTATGCTGCTTTCTTAATATTTCTAACCTGGATTATGTCCAAAAGTTTAATACGGGGTTAGGAAAACTAGCCCCTGATGACAGAGATAATATGATCAAACCTCAAACTGCTGCTGTAAGGAGCTGATTTCTATGATGCAGCTGTCTCTCTTCTGGTTGATCCCATCCAGTTCAATTTTCTCGACTTTCTTTTTGGCCTGGGCACCCCTGAGTTTGTCAGAGATTTGTTTGTGCTTGTTGCCCTAAAAGAGAGAAAGACGTTAATGACTGTACATGTCATAAAGCAAGCTGAACAATCCAATATTTTCCATTAGTTTAGTAATTTGCATTAAATCTATACTGTGTATGTGATTTAGTTACATGGCCCATGAAATGCTAATGCGGACATCTAATGAAAAGGAAACGGCCAAAGGGTCTCTGTAGGCTCACCACAGCTTCGAGCTCCATCTCTAGACTTCTCTTCTTGGCCTTAAGGCGGATGATGTCCTCCTGTTCCTGGCTTTTCTGGCTCTGGAGCTCTTGCTTTTTCCTCCTCTCCCACTCCAGTTGCCGCTGGCGCTCCAGCTCCTTTTTAGCTGCCTGAAATCACGTTTAAAATATTAATCTACTGACACAAAATTCCTTTCTAGTGTTTACAGCAACTTACATCTATAAGACCAGGTTATTATTTGTACTGAAAAGTCGTGCAGGTTTATGCAATTTAAGAATCGACTACTATGAATTTTTGGACAGTGTGGCCAAGTGGGTCCTTGTGTGTAGGTTGGGGGAAAAAAAAGGTCATCCCAAGTAATCCCACCTCCAATGGCATAGCGTCTGGGCATGCAGGACGTGCTGCACACAGCCTCTACATTTTGGGTGGCCCTTGGTTGGATCTACCGTATGGGTGATTTTGTCACTGTAACCCACGGCCTGGGTTGGGTCCTGTAATTCGTCTCTGCTTCTTAGGTTAACAATGCATAACTGACACATTCCTTAATAGCAACTGTTGTCATCCAGTACTACCTCCCTTTGCCTTCGGCTCTTTAGCAGCATGCCCGCATGAACATAATTTAAATTTTAAGCCCCAAAAATGGTCAGCAGTGCCTGGGAGGGGCAACAATGCCTGATAAAGTGGAGGATGTTGTTGTCCATGTTTTCTACCCATTTCCATTTTCTACCCCAAGTAAAATGAATGCTAGCTTTGTACTTGTCTATGTTCGCTTAAAGGTGAATCGTTTCATTATTTTCAGTGAAGTCTGAAGCATCTTGATATCAGGGTTAGGCTGTTTATATGGTTTGTCAATAGTAGTGATAAGAACCAAACATCTGAAGAGTTTAATGGGTCTCAAAGCTTCTTCACAAGACATCATTACATGAAATGGTTACGAATACGTTGCCTGAGATCAGGTTTTGACCTAAAAGTATTTTTAAAAAATCCATCTATGGTGGTGAGAAACACAGTGTTATAAGGCAAACCCCCCTAACCCTTTTCCCTTCTGATTTCCCACTATATTACCGTCATCAACATTATGTATAAAACCTCAGAAGACTCATGTAGGTTCACTCATGGTTTTGGATAGTAAATAAAATGACTATACCTGCATTGCAGACATCACAATCCCTGGCTATTACCACCATTGTTAAGAAGTCTGAGTCTGTAAGTTTCTTTTCAATTAACCATTTCACATCAAACCACTCTAAAGGACTTTTTACATCTCAACCACTGAATTATGTAGAAATTTAGAACAATCAGTGGATTTCCCCTTTAACAGCATGTGCCCTTCTGTGTTTTGAAGTAATGTTTTGGCATGACAATGGCATGAATGGAAAATGGTTTTTGATGAAGTGGCTCTGATGGAATCTCATTGTATAAGAAGATTTTATTCCAAGCAATTCTGGAGCTTTTCCAAAACATTCTTTATTTTCAATGTAAGTTAATGTAAAGAGATTTTATTGGTTTATTTATCATGAAATTTCCACACAATGTAAGAGCAGCTGTTGGGCTCAGATGATGTAGAAAAGTAAAAATCTGAAAAAAAAAGGCTGCTAACTTGTTCATGTTTTCTTTGGACAGCAAAGTGACTCCAGGTAAGAATGTTTTTTTCTACATTACTTCCAAAGATATTGTTTTTGCAGTGATACCAAGAAACCTGAGGACATTTTTACTGCAACAGTCAACAAATATGGATGACTCGGTGGTCTAACACTGTTAGATCAGCACAAACAGACAGAGGCTAATCTGTGAGCTCACCTCTTTCCTCTCCAGCTCTTTGAGTCTCTCCTCTTCTCTCTGCCTCTCCAGCTCCCTCTGTCGCTCCAGCCGCTGCTCTTCCTCTCTCTTCCTCCTCAGCTCCAGCTCACGTGCCTCTCTCTCTCTCCTCTCTTGCTCTTCACGGGCTTTCTGTGCTCTTCTCTCCTCCTCCCGCCGCTGCTGCTCCAGTAAAGCCTGCCGCCGCTTCTCCAGCTCCGCGTTCCCCAGCTCCAGGTTTCGCTTAAACTTGTCTTCAAAGCTCACTGCACACACAGAGAACACACACATACACAAATATATACGGAGAAAGCAGAGCATCTACAGAGCTTCACAAACAAACATTTAAAATGAGCTCTATTTGTTTGGTGACAGTTTACAAACTGCAAAATACAAAAGCAAAAACAGAAATAAAAATAGAAATAAAAACAGCAGTGATTTTCTGACCTGTGTTCTTATGAAAAAGTTCTCCCTGTTAATCAATTTTTATTGAAATTTTTTTTCTGTGCATTCCAAATAATATAAATAATATAAAAAAAAAAATACAAAAAAAAATTTTTTTTTTGGCATTTTTTTTTAATTAATTAAATTATTATCTGCTATCGTAGCCCTCTACAGTTGGTACAGTGAGTGTCTACTGCAACTTTCAGCATCATGTTTTTCTTGTGTGAGACTTCAGACTCTACATACTTCAGTGATAAATACATTCACCTCTGCAGCAGCTGGACATGACTTTTTCTCTCATTGTGAGGCAATGAATTTCTCAGTTCATGCTGGGTGTGGTGCAGAACCTTACAGTTCTTGGATTTCTGCGGTGGATCAGCCTCAGTAAACTCATCAGGCAACGCTGCATAGATGGATGGACTGGCAGTTCCATTCAGCGACTCGCCCACTTTGCCCCTTACAAGTGACATTAATAAACAAATGTTGAGTTTAGGGATGGCCGAAATGACAGTATGTCAACATTATCATGTCACTATTAATACACAATTACTTGGTCACAGTTATTTGAGTTGAATACAATCATTTTCCACAGTCATTTCACAATCATTTGTTTACAGAATGTGAACTGCGTGAGTTTTCATCAGTTGCGTTGTGGCAAATACATTTAAACAAAAGAAAGCAGAAAACACGTAACTGAGACGCATCATGGGTCTTACAAAAACAACAAAAAGTTCTGAGTAGGCACTGTAAGTCCTTTAGGGGGCAGTGGTGAGTATTGTCTGTTTATTTGAGCTCAAACATCTGCTGTCTGTTGGGCGCTAGTAAGTGTCAACAGCTAGGATGCAAGCTAACTAATTAGCCAATTTGGCCACCTCAGGTTTGTTCCTTAACTACATTCAATAAACAAAAAGTTATTATCTACGTGGCAAATAATTATCAGCTGAAGTGTCATGATCACGACAGGCGTACATTACTGTGACAAACTTCATTATGATGCACTTTTCCGAGTACATCTTGGGTATAAACAGTACTTCTAGATCACTGAACAAGTATGTATTACAAAAAAAGATTTAAAAAATCTTAGAACAATCATAGAGAGCCTGCAAATAACAAGCAGTGAATACTGTTTGCTCAAAATGCATAAGAACAAGTTGCTGATTATGACATTGACACACATACATATACATACCCACATACACACACACACACACACACACACACGCGCGCGCACACGCGCACATACACACACATATATATGTAAAACATAACGCATAATTTAGGATCACATTTTGCTTTAAGAGTCCAAATGAATAAACGTGTGAGTCGGATATCGAACAGTACCTGAGTGATGGGGGCACTAGATCCGGAGGAAGAGAGAGAGGCAGAGGCTGTCCTTGCTTGGCCATATCAACTAGGTGCATAGCTAGAATAAACTCTTCTGCCCTCAGTTTACCGTCTTTGTCTACATCTGCCAGGTTCCTGGGAAACAGACAAAGAATTAAGTCAATCACAATATATGATGAGTTAATCATTGAAGGTGTGCTTGTGTTTTATGTAAACATGAATGGCAGAGATACCAACCAGATGGCGGCTAGCTGGGTCTGAGTTAGTAAAGTTGAAGCCATTGCAATTCTCACTTGAAGGCCTGCAAGCAAAAGGTAAAAATATATAGAGGCAAGTTTTTCCATGATTGCATAGGGTTTAAAGGTGAATTACAATAGTGGTGACAGGAAGTGGATATCTGAAGCATGTAAACTTAACAGCTACCTTACAGAAAGCTATTCCACGAAATGGTTTCCAACACACTGTCTGAGATGTTTTTTATGATCATTATGATTTAAGGTTCTGAGCTATTAAATACTTTCATGGAGAGGTTCACGGTGTTGTAAAGCAAAGTAGTCCCTAAATAAAACATATTTTTTGGTATTTATCACTATTTTCTCATATTCACATGTAGGTTTAACGGTCATTTTGGATAACAAATAAAATGCTATATTTAAATTGTAGGCTAGCGATCTCTGGTTTCTATCACCAGCACTGTAAAGAAATTTGAGCTGATAAGTTTCTCCACAAATTCAGTATTTCAAATCAAACCATTCTGAATGACTTTTGATGAGTTCATATAATAAGACATATATAATCATTGGTCATATAGTCATATATTTAGCAAAAATGTTTAAACATTTTTCGAATTACACTTCAACTGGAATTAAATGGCTTACAAAAGAATCTATTTTACCCGTACATGACGTCTAGCACTGTTTAAACTACAACTATGACTGTATCTTGAACTATGGCTTGGAAGGTTATGACGAGCAGATTCTTTTGATGCACCAACAAAACTGGTTTGACTGAAACTGACTTGTATTCCTAATGCAACAAAGCCAGTACCTACTTTGAGTTCTCACATTATTATAACATTTATATAATGTGAGACCTCAAATTATAAGGGATTATATGTAACAGGAACAAACATGAACAAATATATTTCGTAAAATATCTGGCAATGGGGGCATTTGAAACATGTCTAGCTGAACTCCTACAAGGTGCTGTATGTTGCTAACCTAATGAACACGCCTTATTCTTGTCTCACTAGCTGTGATGTGAAGTATGCAAGACAGTGAGTTTATTCAGCTGCTATGTGGAAGTGAACTCTAAGCCACGTGTGAATCTCTTCCTTCTTTAGAAATCTTATGCCACACAATTTCTCTAATATAAAAAGAGGATTTAAGTAGGTACCATTTTAAATATTTGTTCTCATGGCAGTGTTAATAACAACCACACAAGGGATGAGTCTGATTTTCTGAACGCTGTAATACTCATGAAAGTAAAGTTAGGATTCGCAACATGCAAATGAGCTCCCCTCTAATGTTACGCATTCCTATATACAGTGCCTTGCAAAAGTATCCAACTTTCTGAGGAGCTTTTTGAGTATTACTAATGTCATTTATACAGATTCTTCCAGCAACTATTTTCCTGAAAACCAATAAACTGAAAACCAGGTTTTTCTGAAAACCAGCGCTGCACACTGTGTAGGAGTGATTTTTGCTTATTGTTCCTGACAGATTTTTCATATATTTTAACCTGATGCCCAGCCCCCTGCTGAGAAAAAGCACCCCCACAACAGGATGCTGCCATCGCCTACCTCACTGTTTGGATAGTGTGTGTTGAGGAATGGGCAGCAATAGGTTTGAACCACACACTGCAATTTTGGCCACAAAGCTCCATTTTTTCGTCACATCTGACCACAAAACCTCAACCCACATTTTAGCTGAGTCACTCTGATGCTTTCTGGCAAACTCTAGACAAGCTGTGATGACATGCTATGTTTTTTCTTCAGTAATGGCTTCTTTCTAGCCACCCTTCCCTACAGGCTAGTTGTATGTGAAGCTCTTGATATTGTTGAGTGGTGCACCTTCAGTCTAGTCTCAGCCACTGAACTATGTAGCTTCTTCATAATGACTAGTGGCCTCTCTGTGACTTCGTTCGCATGAGAAATAGCAAAACGCAGCATTAGATCAAGAAGGGGTTCTTGATCTAATGCTGAGTTTTGCTATTTCTCTCATTTTCTTAGAATGCTCTTTGGTCTTAACTTTCAGACTGGCAGTCTGACCAACAGAGGTCCAAACAGTCCTTTATCCAGAAAAGATCATCTTTAAATGATTCACAGATAGAGACTAATTATAAAAGTATTTTTGTCATATTTTCTTTATAAAACTAATATCATTTCAATTGATTAGTGTTGAGGTCTAGTATTTTTGAAATACAATATATAACACAGCACAACCTACCAAAGTGTCATTTGTAACTCAGCAAATCTGATACTGTATAAGAGCCACGATCAGTCTAAACTTGATATTCTATCAGAGGCAAGTGAACAGCCTGCTTTGTATAATTTGTTGAGGTTTTATCTACTCAGTTCAAAGATTGTTCCAGCCTTCTAATCTCTGCAGCCAGATAAAGGCTACCACAAACCGGAGGAGAAGCTCCATGCCGGCCCGCCAGAGGGTCTCTGGCACATGGTAGCAGTACAAAGCACAACTGTAGCACAGAGAAAGTGTTGCAGAAATAACTTTTATCACAACAGCCATCAACGGAACTTGTCATTTAATAATGATGAGTTTACGCTCATTTTACAATCTACTAAAATATATATTCAACAGCATAAACTTTGTGTCATTTTGTGAATTTATCAGGTTTAGTTAACTGTTTTGCAGCTAAAAGGTTTGCAGTGAAATATAATCTAGCAACTCTATACATCAGCTGAATTAAAAACAGAAAATTTGAATGTGTGTGTTTAATTTTTAGCCTTTAAACTGACACCTTTCTTGGGGTAAACTTCAAGCGCTAAGTTACCTCCTGTGGATTTGCGGTCTGGGCATTATAGCATAAGTAACATATCATGATACTTAAAAACATTTTTACAATACATGATACGTATTTTGCCACAAAGACACAATGCGCCTTAGAGGCACTTGAAAAAACTGCATCAAAAACTAGCAGCTTATCTGGAGCGGCTAAAACAGAGCTCCAAAGTTTATAAACAGGCTTTAATCAGGTTTAAATAGGTCAGGTTTAAACTAAATTGCTGAAGCTGATACTTCCGTACGATGACACTCAATAGATGATACATCTGTTGCACTGTTGCAAGTCTTTTTATTACATACCTGTAAGATAGCCAGTCATCTGCTTATCCAGACTGTTGAACTGCTGCCTATATTTGAGGCGGGATGAATGCGGCACAGCCCAGTCCGAGGGGCCGGCCATAGGAGAGTTGCTGGCTAAAGATGTGGTGGAAGAGGAGTTGGAACTGGGAGAAAAGACAGGACCTGTAAGACTCAGCATTTCTCTCATTTGTTAAAATGTATGCATAAAAAGTAAACTAAGCAAAAACATCACAGACTTCGGTCATTTCCACCTAGTACCCACAATGGCATTTGAAATTATGTCAGAATTATAAAGGTATTGACTTAAACCAACAAAATATTTCTGGCCTGGTGTATCGTAGAGACAAATTAGCATATCAGTTGGCTGTATGGACAACCCACGGTTTTATCGGTATCTGCTCAAAACAGTTTTGTAACTGGGGATCCCTACAAGAGTCATACCCTGTATCACAACAATACAGGCTGAACAGGTGAGCACAAAACACCATCATAAAAATAAAAATGTAAAATGTATTCAAAGCTAACCAGTACCATAAACACGAATATTTGTTACAAAAAGAGCCAATGAAAAACAAGACAATACAAAAACAAAACCACAGAGAATTATTACTGACCTCACAGTGCTACAATATTTATATAAATATAAATATATATATATACTATATTTATTTTATTATTATTATTATTATTTATTATCCAGGCGATTAGTTTACATCAAGGGACCTGAAAGACGTGTATTTTCACATCCCGATCTATCCTCCTCACAGGAAGCTGTGTGGCATACAAATATTTGGTCCTCCTGTTCGGACCCTCACCAAGTCCACGGGAGTTTGTGAAATGCATGGAAGCAGCAATCGCACTGCTCAGAGAAATACGTCTGGATACTCGACAACAGGCTCCCAGTAGTTCAGTCACAACAGAAAGCACTGAAGCAGACCAGAATGCTCTTAGAGCATCTGACAGAGAAAAGTGTGAGCCCAGCCCAAAATATCTCTTTCTTAGGGCTGGTCCTAGACTCAGGTTTATCAACGGAAAAAAGTACAGGCTCTACAAAGTTGCCTCTCTCAGCAGGGGGTCGGCAGTAAAATATCGCATTTGTCTTAGACTCCAAGTTTCAAAGATTTATTTGTCACATACATAGTCATACACGGTACAACTAGCAGTGAAATGCTTGGATAACTGCCCGCTCACATGAAGCAATAAGGTAATAAGAAACAGTAGTCAAATAGAAGAACAATATTGTAGAAAATATAGAACACAATATCCACTGTGTATGTACATTGTACAATGTAGACTCCTGGGTCTAATGGCATCAACACTGATGGTTGTCCCGCTGGGCTGTTTGTACATGCGAGATTTCTAATGGTGGGTTGCTTCCCTCCATATGGATTCACCACATTATGGCCACTACCTCGTCACGTAGAACGACTGCTCTACATCCCTGGAAACGCCCCACTTTTCTGAGTAATTCACTACGGATGCCTCCCTAGTGGGATGGGGCGCCACTCAAAAAGGCAGAACGATCAACACATAAACTGCTTAGAACTCCTGGCAGCATCACTTGCACTAAAACACCTTCTTCCCTTTCTGAGGGGATGCCACATTTTAGTCAAGATGGACATCAAACGTTGAGGTTGCACTCCGGCCGTTTGCACACACTGGCACACAGACTGATTGTGTAGATCAGCTCTCACTCGTGTACCTGGAGTGTTAAATCTGGGTGCAGATTTACTGTCCGGGGCTCTTGACGTTATAGAAACTCCACAACAAGGTAACGACTCAGCTATGGACACTTTCTTGGCCAAGTAGAGACGGATTTATTTGCATCCAGAGAAAATGCACAATGCCCTCGTTGGTACTCTCTACACGACCAGGATGCCCCGTAGAGGTGGACATGCACACAAACCCTGTATGATGGTAAACAACGCGTTTCGAAGAGCAGTGTGGGGCAACAGGTGCATCGGCATTTCAATGCTCTGTCACCACAATCCTGTGATTGTTGCAAGAGCTCCTGGATAGGTAGGCAGAGCCTTCTCTACCATTTAACTATACCTGGATGACCAAGACTTACCTTACTAGGAGATGAATCTGTGTTACAAGAACATAAGGAGGTAAACCTTAGATTCATTAACATAGCACTCCTTGCTGCCAAACAATATACTGCTATTAAGTGGTAATCCTCTAAACCCCCTAGCATTTCATGTTTCTAGCATGTTTCATTTTTGTTGTGGTGGGAATTTTATACTGCTGCATCTATGTTACATGTAACTTTAATATAGTGGGTAAAAAAACCTAATAAACATACTGATTAAAGAAAGGTGTACCTGGCTGCTCTTTTAGGCTGCCATGTAGGGATATGATGGTGAGCCAACACGTACACGTCCTCTGTCCTATGTCTAAACCCTTGGCTGCTCCATGGGACAATAGTGCTGAAGGCAGTATCTCGCCCTCCCTTCGAGCCTTAGGATCAAGTGGGCCTGAAGTTACTCTCTCTAAAAGCAGCTTTATTATTGGTGCTGGCTTCAGCAAAATGAGTTGGTGACATGCATGAGTTGTGAATAAACCCATCATGTATGCAGTTTCTGCAGGGAGGCTCTGCAGTTTTATTGAAGCCTAACCCTGCATTTATTCCCCAAATTATACAATCTGGCTGAATTCTTTGCCTTTTGTCCTCCTCTGTCCTCATCCCAAAAACAGGAACACCTTAACACACCCTGTCCAGTCTGGACGCTGAGGGCATGATCAGTTATTTGTCTCTTGGGCTACACCGTGGGAACCGGCCACCGCCTGCCAGTGCTGTTGAAAAAATCCTGGAGGAAACACTGCCTTTTCTTGTATAGCAGACAAAAATGAGCCTAAGTTCTCACCTGCTTGAACCCAGGTCCAGAAGAGATGATGACATGTTCATAAAGGTGGAAGAAGAACCCAAAGGAGGGGAAGTAAAGGAGCTGTTCAGTGGGAGAGCTACAGACACACAAACATGAAAGATAATTCAGTACATCATGTTCAAAATATGGTTTTCCTGTGTATAATAACTATCAGTAAAACCCAGCTGAGCAGTGCAAGAAATGAAAAAAAGCAGAAAATGCTGACTCAGTAGTGACTGGGAGAGACCAGAGGCAGTGAATGCTGAATACTAGCCCTCAGGCATGTCTGCAGTGACAGTGCTAACTGGCAAAGGAGCATTCTAAATAATTCTTTGCCTTCCTTTGAACTGCAAGAATTTTGTATGAAAGGAGAATTTTCTTCAATTTTCTATTACTAATACTATTAATACTATTATGCAGACGTATCTTACATCAATTTATGCAAACACTTCAAATTTTCAACTAATCTTAAACCCAGTAGTGCAAACCATGCCTTCAAATAACAAAATGTCTTCAGTAGACTAAAAAATTGCTTTGCCTTTAATTGAACCTTTAATCGAGAAAAATCTAAATTCAAGTGTTAACTGTGGTCCAAACAGCAAACGATTCAAAAGAGGTGTAACAGATTCAACACAGACCTTAAAAAGGGCCCATATCCTACATTTTTCTGTAATGTTAATTTTTTCCCCCCATGAGCCCCACTTCTCACGTTTGTGTTACCATAATTCATGTCTTTTAGACTGAAAGGTACGGGATCTCTTATTGCCCTGAGTTGTGCTTCATTTAAAAAAACACTGTAGGCTGAAACACTTTTTACAATTTCAGAGTGAATGGGCAGAGCTACAGGGTTGTAGGCTAAACAGGTGGATATTTATGTAACTGTGCTTATTTTGATGACACCACAGAAATTATCAGTTCACAGTGGGCTGTTTTTGCAGCTTAGTTTCCATATATGGACTCTATGGACTGGAGGGTGAACAGGACATTTTGAAGCTTTACTAATGTACATACTAGAAGAAGTTTGTTTACTTCTAAAAAAAAGTTTGTAAAACTATTTCCCTGTTATGGGCCCTTTAATATTTGATTTTCATTATTTTTCATATTTAATATACAGATATATTTATCAATACTGAATCTAAAACATAAATCTGAATATAACGTGCTAAGAAGTCAAATGAGGTGTTACTATTTGCGTTTTGGAGGCTTGAATGGTGAAAACTTACTGTTACCAGGAATGGGCTGCAAGATACCCACAGGCCCGTTGGGCAGAGCAGGAGTGCTAATTGTGGGCATTATTGGCATGGCCAGTCCAGTGGGCATCATGGGGGCCACGCCCTGCATAGGGCTTAATGAGGTCAGAGGTGCAAGAACAGGCATAGTGGGCATCATGGGTATATTTGACATGGATCCAATCCCTGAAGAAACAAATACAGTTAATGGTTAATACAGACACAAAAAAGAACCCACAATATTCAAATAATCCACCTCACTCAAAACCCACTGACTAAAAAGTAATTAGAAATGCTCTCTATGTAGTTCTTAGGCACAGAAAAATCTGTTTCTAGCTGTTTCTACAGGTTAGTCCAAAATAAAAGGGTTAGTCTACTTCACCCAGCTGGCATCCTAAAAATTATGCCATGCCACATGATTAACATTCAGTCAACATCTGCAGGTGAAATAATCCAATGAGATTAGGGCGTCACTCTTCTAGGACCACCTAGACAATGACATACACTCACTGGCCACTTTATATGCATTACGCTAGTAATTACATTTACATTGTCCATTTTATCAAGACCACTTACCATATAGGTGCATTTTGTAGTTCTACAATTAAAGATTGCAGCCCCTCTTTTTTTCTGCTCGATTTTTTATCCCCTTGACAATCTCCTCATTTCTTGGAGCATAAATGCAAAATTAAGTTGATGTTTATGCTCATAAGTGTGCATATCACATATTTTACAAGGGCTTAGAAAGTAACTCAATCAATGAGATTTCAGAACTGGAACATACAGTTTTGTGACTGATATTTATATGAGTCACATCCTTGATTTTGGGCTGGCTAGTTATTGATTAATTGCCAACTAATGATAACTGATAGAATTATAGGAAAAAAAAATCTGTCTCTAGTAAGTGGACCTGATAAATAGACCATAAGTGTAGATAAATAGTCTGTATACTTAAAGCTAGAGTCTGCTTTAAGCGCACTTTAGTAAAAACTACCTCAAACAGACAAAACCAAAGAAAACAGCTGGTCATAAGGGTTAGGAAATGAGGATCAGTTTCCAGCAGTTTTTCAGCCATACAGATCTGCTCTGCTACAGCATGGACAAAAATGTCTTGGTACCATTTCGGTGTAAGGCTCACATCTTGGCCTAGCTGTAATATCGGACACCGTAACAAAATTAAAATTGCACAGCTACACTCTTTGAAAACAAATACAAGGCCACAAACGTTCTTTGAATGATGCCACAGAAGATCCACAGTTGGTTCACTAAACAACCATGTCTGAAAAAGAGATTAGTAAATAAAGCCTGCATGACATTTTAGAGGGTCTTTGTAGAACTTTTACACCCTGCGGAGTTTCTGTCAATTATAAAAAAAATTCTTCAAATTTACACATCTCATTTACAAACACAGTTCTCTAAAGAACCAGGGTCTTCTATAGCACCACACACAGAAGCTTTTAAGGTTTAAAGAACCTTTACATAATGTAAAGGTTGTACACCAATCCAAGGGTCCTTGCTAGAACATTTGGATTACGCAGAGGTTCTTTAAACTTTAAGAAGGCTCTCCAAACTTATTTTTCATTTTAAAAAATAGTTCTCTTTAGAACCATCCACAGCATTGGTTCTTCTATAGCATCGCAGAAAGAACCTTTTTTTTACATTTCACACAATGTGAGTTATATTAATTAAGGGTTCTACCTTAGGACAGAAGGTAGAACTTTTAAATTGGTTAGCATTCTGTTCACACTAAACGGGCTAAATACAGATGTCTGTTTGTAGGTAACTGGCAGCTTACCGAGTGGTGCTACTGGCATACTGGGAGCAGGCACTGGTGGCTGCTTCATGATAATGGGCAGAGCCGTAGGCAGATTCTGACCTTGCAGCTTCATCTTGATCAGTTTCATTGCAATGGAGAACTCCAGACGGTCCATTTTACCATCCTTGTTCATGTCAGCCAGAGACCTGGAGTGGACAAACACACACACAGCAATGAGAACCACCCTAACCCGAAGTTCAGAGTAGGACACTGCAAACAGTTTGACACTGACACTGACAAATAAGAACATCTTCTCACATCATTTCCTTTGAAACAATTATTATGTGTTTTGATCATTTGCAAATGTTATCTAAATATAAATATATTTGACTCTGAATGTGGATAAAAAAAAACAATAAAATGAGTATTCAGTTAAGAAAAACCACCACCAAACTTGCTGTTAGAAGAACACATCTGTGATTATGTAAACATGACACCCTCAAGTTTAGAGGTCAACTCTAAATGTCAGCAGACTGGCAGTGTTGTTGACTGCTTGCTTGTTTATGTTACAAGCAGAAACTAATTTACTTCAAATTAACTATCATTACTGTCAGTAGCTTCTGTCATTATCTCAGAGATCACGACAGAAGCAGTAAATCATAATTAAAATATTGTGCCTCTGACCGGATTTGCTGTGTAAAAGAAATATCTACAAAAAAACAAAAACAAAAGTACCTTTCACTACTGAGCGAAATAGCAATGAATTATTAATAGCTACGACTTCTAGAACTGCAAGCACTGTCACTGATGTGCAGCACTGCTCTTATAAAGTAATAAAAGCTATTTGCCTGCTAAAACTGCCCCCTTGTGGAGAATTGTGGTCTGCGAAACGTGAGTTCAAGTTTTAAGAGATGCTTCAACCTGAACACCATTCAGAATTCCCTAAACAGCATCATCTCCACATTTATACAGTCAGGATACAAACTTAAATAAATATGTAGATTTTTATTTTAAATCTAGGCCTAAAAAATAATAAAAATACATACTTGATTCCTTAAAAAGCTCCTCATGATGTAGTTTTGTGATGACAACAGCTACTACTGCTTCATACTCATACATCTACGCATTTCATATACAACAGAGTGAAAGCATTTTAAGCATTTTCTCAGGCTAAGAGCTCAGGAAAGCGTAGGTTTTGAGGTTTTTAGCATGTGGATTAAGTTTTTAGCCACTAGTTAAGTTACTTGTTCTCCATGCTGTTCGAGCTGAACGCAGGGAAACATTAGTTGACGTGGTGCATCTGGTGTGTGGTGGCCTTAACACTACTTTCCTGCCAATCCAATTATGTCACTTTAATGTTTGATGTAATTTGAGTGTCACTGCAGCCCTCAACTGTGTTTGTTTGTCGAAACTCATTTTTACAACAAAAATATGATTTATTGTACAGCCATAACAGATCCATAATTTTCAGGGATCACTGGCTTAAAGTTTCATTTTGTTTAGTTTGTAGATTTTAGTGCTCACCAAATTTCAGCCAGCACAGAAGCAGGGAGGCCTGACTGCAGGAAGAACTTTCGTGCCTGCTCCCCTGTATAGAAGATAGAGAGGGAATATGAATATGCATGATTTACAAAGACATCACTTTCATTGTGAATTACCCTTATATCTATAATAAAGTGGTGGGTTTTCACAACAACTCTGTTACAATTATAATGATCATTTTTATTAAAAATAAAATGTTGGGTGGGTGTGTAGTGTATAATATACCTACCCTTACCATTAATCACACACACACACACACACACACACACACACACACACACACACACACACACACACACACACCCCACTCCAGAGCAGCCACACATCTAACCAGGAAGCCCTCACAATAAACGCTCATGTTAATCTTTCTTCTCAAGACAATGACAAACTTTCACCTTTGCTCTCTGAGACACCAGCACTAAGAATAGAGGCTAAATCAAACCAATTAAACATTTAAATAGGAGAACATTGCAACCTTGTAAAGTACATACCAGACACAAAACCCTGTGCTGGGGAGAGACCGTCGAATTTCTGATCATGTTTATCTCTCTCCTCTGGAGTTATAGCCCAAATGCTACGACCACCTGAGTGGGAAAAAAGTTCAGATAAATAAAAGCAATTAAACACAGAAAAAAATACCCCCCCCAAAAAAATCAAACCCAAAAGCATATGATTAAAACAATGTCATTAATGCAGATCCTTGAGTTTTTCTATTCACATACCAGTATATTACTGATTATTAGACAACAAGAAAAACTCAGTTACCAGATACCAGTACTATACGATAGAAGTACTAAGGAGCCTTTAACACTGCTTTTAATTCTACCTTGACGTTACATTAACAGCAAGGTATTTTTTATTCTGCCATTCACAGAAAATCAACATCTCTACTACAGGTTTAGCTTGAGAAAGTGTTTATTGGACAAGACTTACACAAGTGTTATATTATGAAAGGTCTGCATAACTGTACAATGATTAAAACAAACAAAAAAAAACCCTTGGGATTAGTAATAACGTCCTGTGAAAGGAAATAATAAAGGTGCACCAATACGCAAGTGTCATGATGCGTTTGGACAGGTCTCTGAGGTGGGAGGAGGTAACACCAGAAGGTATTTGGGTGGTTGGATATTTTTAGTGAATTGGTGAACTAAAATTTTCTTAGTGTTATTGGTGAGCTTGTGTTCATTGATGGGATCATGAACTCAAAGGTGTATAAAGACACTTTGGATGCAAACCTGCAGAAGTATGCAAAAAGTAATTTGAACGATAATGATCTGAGACCTACCAGCCGCCTTTTAAAAAAATGCTGGGCCAGAAAAAAAGGCTTGGATTAGCATGTTTAAAACAGTGGCGAACCGTGACTATCAGAGCTATCAGAGCTTTCATTTTGAGACAAATGTCAAAACTGAGGAAACAACACCTCTGCAATATGCTAACACTCCTATGGGCTTCTAATAGTATGTTAGCACTGAAGAACTTTGACTCACATGAACAATTTTTGGCTGTGCTAGATTAAAGGCAGAGAGTTTCAAGCTTGTAAGATATTCCATGTTTTATTTGAAGCTTGTAACATTCACATACATTTGTTCATATATAGTAGTTACACAGACAGTCCTTCAGTAAGGAGCCCTACACAGCGCTTCCCTCAGTGCTTTCCATTTTTAAGATTTTCTGGAAAAGCACTGGTCAGCCTGCAGCTCTTATTTGCAGTCAGTGCCAAATTTAAGACTTCCAGACAGACCAGCGTGATATTTCTTTTATTCATCAAATTGGTCCCACCCTTTATAAATCAAAGCAGGATTGGTTGATTCCACCGTCACACTCTAATTATGTTACCGACACTTTAGGCCTTCAGTTCAGCTCCTGAAGTTCTTCCCCAGTGGGAGAGTTTGCTTGGCTGTGGCTATAAATACGCCATGGATTAGTTAATTTTTTGTTGGCCATTTAAAGAATTATGTCCTGGTTTCAATCAAAATTTAACAATGAATTTACTACAATACTTCTAGAGTTTAAATACAACAACAGCATTACGATTACACTAAACTATTTTTTCACAGAATAAAGAGACCCTAGCTGAAGCCCTAGAAGGCCCTGAGGGTTACCCATTGTGTAAAATAAATGCAGCTTGTTTCCTGGTACAATGAACCTACATTTTAAAGTATGGAGCCACTGTATTACTCTGTATTATTATTATTACATAACGAACTAAAAAGGGTTCATTTTAATTCTAGGTCGGCTTTAAGTAGCGACCACGAACTCTTTATAGACCCCACCATCATTCTTCCAATTCGAATCAAATGTCTTTACAACAAACTTTTTCCCCATGTGTATGAATCCTACAACAACTACACACTTTTAGAATGCCCTGTACATTTGTTAGGCCAAAGCCACATACTGCTACCCACCACCCGACAAGACAGCAAAATCAATCTTTCATATAACAGTGGACTCGATCAATGAGGCTATTTCACTGCTGACAGTGAGTGTGAGCAGTTCAGTGAGCCGGGCCATATCGGCACGTTGCACTGAGGCTAGCATGCTGGACGCCTGATAAAAGGATATGTTCAGTAAAGAGTGACGTAGAGAAATGTCCTTGTAAAGACTGTAGATCATTCATTCCTCCACACACAGGCCAAGTCATGCACCCACACGCATACAGATACAGGCAGTGGTCTTACCATTCATGACTGCAGGTGGTGGTGGAGGGGACACAGGAGGAGAGTGGTCCTGATCCTCGTCTCAGCTGGCTAGCTCAGGCATCTGCGCTCCACCTACACACACACACACACACACACACACACACAGAAACATCCACCCATTAATAATGCAGAGCAAGGTTTTCTCCTTCACAGTCCTGCAGAGAGAGAGAGAGAGAGAGAGAGAGAGAGAGAGAGAGACAGACAGACAGACAGAGAGAAAGAGAGAGAGAAAGAAAGAGAGAGAGGGAGAGAGACAGACAGAAAGAAAGAAAGAAAGAAAGAAAGAAAGAAAGAAAGAGAGAGAGAGAGAGAGAGAGAGAGAGAGAGGCCAGAAAAACAGGGCAGCTTTTTAAAAGTGGTGACTACAGTTTTAAACTGTGTGGACAAACCAATTCTTTTATATGAGCTGCAGACGCTTTGAAATTCAACAGACCAAACAAAGTACCAATGTCACAAAAGGGCAATACTTATGTCGTTTAACTACATAACAATTCCAATATGGTTTAATACTACAGCCGGTCTGTTACGCTGCTATTTGTTTTTCTACGTGGTATTTAAGACTTAAATACTACCTATTTTATTAATAGACCACTAAAGCCGTTGTTGTGATTCTGTAGACGAGCTCACGTACCCAAATAGTCAGCACAGGTGCGTTTAGCTGCCCTACGATGCTAAACAGCAGTTTGAAAATGGGAATTGAGGACATCTAATATTAAAGAGGTAAATGAGCAAAAAAAAACCTAAAACAACAAAAATCAACAGGAGTCTTTGTCAAATATTTTGACAAGAAGAAGAAGAAAGGCACAACATCGGCGCCATCATGTTTACCATTTACACTCCCCTCCCTCTGAACTTTCCGCTGCACAGACTACAAGAGAAACGGCTAATCTGAGTTGCTGTTCCTACATATAACCATCAATACACCAAATCCACCTGCAAGTACACAAACGAAGGGATTACAGATCCTCCTGTCTGTGCACGTTGCGTAAGGGAGCAATGAAAGGAGGCCTGGACGAAAAACAGAATGTGGTCCTACAGGACGGCCTTCTAGTAAGCTGCTGTGATAAAGCATGATCGGCATCTGTTTCTGTGTATCTCTGGTTCATACAGTGCCCAAATACTGGCTCCCCGGTAAACGTGAGCAAACGGGCTATAAAAACTTTCTGTATCTTTTTCTCACATTAGTTGGGTCTTGGAGTCAGAATGTCTCCCAAACTACAATCAGGTGCCAGTTACGCAATCACAAGTTGTTGTGAAGGTTGTCAGAAGGAAGTCTCTGCTGTGAAGGACCAACACACTCAAGCATCTGCAGGTTGGCAACAAACACCAGAAATCGGGTTTGTTGCAGAAACAAAAAAAGCCATACATCATCCTCACTGTGAAGTATGGTGGTGGATCTGTTATGTTGTGTGGCTGTTTTTCTTCCAAAGGCCTTGGACAGCTTCTTCAGATACATGTTATCACAGACTCCTTCAAACACCAGCAGATATTAAATCAAAGCCAGACTGCCTCAGCTAGAAAGCATAAACAGGGCCATAGTTGGATCCTCTAGCAGGAAGCCCACAAGTGTGGACCCCTCAATATGAAGGATAAGGAGAGATTCTGTATGGAGGAATTGTATCAGATCCCTTGCCAATCTCCAGGCTCATTAACAGTGTTTCTGCTACACACACATGTATATATATGTTGCAGCGTTAGGCTGCTGTTGCAAAATTACTGCAGCCGCTGCTTCAGAACTGAAATGTCATGAAGTTGCAATTACAAAACTCTGCAGAGGGCTTTTAATTTGAGCCGATGGTTACAGGAAATGGATGAACATTGCTTGCACAGTCAGAGCTGAGTTGAGCTGAAGTGCCAAATGAAATGCTCGTCAATGGAGTGACGGTTTTAGCAAGATGTAGTTAGTGAACTGGCTAACTAACTAACATTGTGAGGAGGCTGGTTCACCTTATTTTGCAGTGCTATTGCAGACAGTGGTCTGAAATATGAATAGACTGGGTCAAAAGGACCTGTTTGGGGGGTGTGGGGGTCTGGACTGCCAGCGCTGCTGAAAACACTGATTAAGCATTAAAGGAGACCTATCTTTGCAGTGGGAGGCTGCACAAAATATTAACTGAAGGGATGCCAACAATTGTGGCACACAGATTTAAGAAAAATATTTTTTCATTAATTTTTCTGCCAATCATTGTACAATGGTTAGAAGATTAGATTTGTGTGAAAGTCAGATCAAGAAGTTCAAAAGGATTAGCAAAAAAACATCTTTACTGCCTGTTTTGCTCAAGTTTACCAGGGATGTCCATATATCTCCCTCTTGGCCACTCCCTCCCAAAGGTAGAGAGCAGGTGATTTCACAAAGAAGCCAGAAAAAAACAAATAAAAACATAATTGTGATCAAATATAATTTTTTAAGTGTTAAGCCAATAATTTGCACAACAAGGTTCAGACAAATACAATGAATATCTCCAATATCAGCACCAGTACCGGCCTACTAAGAGAATAAGCAGACATACCACACTTGAATTCACCCTTTAAAAACCCACAAGCTAAGCAAGTCTGGCCTGGCATACATTTGGATATGAGCAGTCTTAACTTAAATGTGAAAGTTTTGGTAGATTTAACACGGGGTTTCTCTCATCTACCCATCAAACAAGTGGCTCCCTGCATGTAAAATGTTTTGGCCATATTGAAAAGCCGTATGCAAACACAATCGTCATCCATCTCATTGAGTCTGCTTGGCTCCTACCCAACTCGCTTGAAACTGATTACAATCAACCTCGTATTTGCAGAAGACCACGCCCAGCAAACCCAGCACATTCCACTGACTGAGTTTAACATTGTCAAAATTGCCATTGCAGGTGCAGCCATCTCTCTGAACAGGCTGCCTAGTAGCTTTTGCGTTTTGGGACACTGCAGTGACTCGGATTTAACCATTCAATACCAGTACCTGACCTCACTAATGCTCTTGTGGCTGAATGCAACCTTTACAGTGCTGGTCTAACACCTGTTGTAAAGCTTTCCCAGAACCGTAGAGGTTGTTACTGCAGCAAACTGCCTGTTACGATGCTGCAAGCGTACATTTAAGCATCAGCAAAGGTTGACTGTAAATAAAGGGTGGGATGGTGGTTTCAAACAACTAAGCAGAAGTGGAGCTAAAAATACAAGTCAACTCAGTGTGTATATCTAAAATACATATGGGATTAAAATAAGTACAATATCTTAAGTCATTTAATGATGAGCAATCTTATCACTTAACAACATCCAAACGGAAGGGGATAAAAAGGGGGACAAAGGTTTTATAGGGGGATGATTATTTTTTTCCTTTTTTTTTTTCAAAAGGGGGATGGATCCTCCTTCCATTCCAGGCCCTGAGTGTTTGTGCACAGCAAACACATTACCTATGGTCTTCTATTGCCATTTGTCACAAAGCTTGAGGACTGTGGCAAAGGCCATGTAGCACTGATGCTAAGGCACGGTTTGTGTACATGGCCAAAAGAAAAAAAGCATAGGCACTTCTTTCTCTCAGCAATCAGCAAAACTGCCAGCTTCACATTTGCTGCACATCTCAAAAAGATCAAGAGAGCACAGCCATCTGGCCAATGAGGTACTGTCACAGAATTTCTCACTGCAAAACAAAAGAGAGAAGTCTGAAACCAGCGGCGCTGCCTTCTGTTTTTGCATGTTGTTTGCATTGGCTCTTAAATCTTGAGCCGGATGGTCTACAGTGCGTGACCTAGATTAACTATAAAAGCCTAAACTTAAAGAAAGTGAAACCTAGAAAAATAATTCGCTTCACTGGTGTTGTTTTGATCAGTTGATGTCTTCATACATTGCAAACATTAAAGCACTGTGTGTGTTTTTAGTCTTAGATAAAACAGAATAAACAGTTTGATAGATCTCAAACACTCTAATGCTGATTTAATGCTTGGACACTGAACACTGAACTAACACTGAAACTAAGAACAGTAAATTTAGACTGTGATGTCATCGTCAAACACATCCTACCCTCCTGCTCCGCCCTTCATGTGGCTGAGCAACAACAGAGGAATGAAGAGGGAGGAAGGCGAAATGAAACAGGAAGTAGAAAGACTTCTGAACAATGTAGCTGGACTCCCACCCAGACCTTGTGGCCGTGTGGGCAGAGGGAGCTGAGGGTGAGACACACTGATCACAGAACAATGCTTGACACTGACACTACAGCCATATTACAGACAGTGTTTACTTGAAAATAACAAAGTACAACTGCTAGTACAGGTTTTAAATGCTTCCAAAAAGTCTTTTCATTTGCCCCATTTTCAGTGTTTTTTCAGTTTGTTCTGAGACTAACAAGACTATAAACTGACGACCAACTAACCCAGAGTTACATAAAGTTAGTCTGAGACCGCAACTCTCATCACTAAAGACAGGTTATAATGGCATCAGAGCAGAAGTTATACTGCTATCTATTTAACTGCAGCACCCAGGTTTGAACCAGGAAGACCAACGTTGAGCCCAGGTGATTTCTTTGCTCCAATATATGTGAATCATGTCAAGGAAATCAACAAACTGTAAGACTGACCATCTAAGAGAGAATTTGTTCACCTTTGTCTTACAGTTAACAGGGTAATTCCAATAATTTTTCAAATTTTCTGCATAATTCAATGGTGAAGATGAAAATAAAGTCATTCAAAGTAGTCTGATGTGTAATGGTGATTTTAAAGATATGTATGAACTTATGAACAAGGCGTCACAATGTTTACACAGAAAATATAGCCGTTTCATCTACTCTCCAAAATAAAGTTGATAATTGTACAATAATGGTAAATCTTTGGAGACTATTTTACAACACCTGGCATGTTCGTCTCCACCACGAACGCACTTTTAAAAACACATTTTAAACTATTTACAAATTATTATAAAACGAGTTATGCTAACGAGACACTAAAAGACTTCTGAAAGACTAAGTCTGACACCCTCTCACTTCTAAAGACAATGTCACAGTTTTTAGTCACAGACTGTGATTTTGCAAAGACTAAGAATCTTGCAGTGTCACTATTTGCAAGACTGCAACTAGATTTTTTAGATTATTTCCCATC